AATACAATAGGAAGGCACGAAGCCTGAGGAATCCGTTCCGTGAGGTGGATATGTTCAAGTTGGGATAAGTTTGAATGAGATGGTTTCCACCTTTCAAAAAGAAAAAAATTTCTTTTTTCTTCCTCTTCTCTCTCTTTTGCGCCCCGGTTGAAAATTAAAATGGGCAAAAACGGGTGGATGTTTTAGGGTGGCGATTATTGGTCCGACGCACGATGGGGGGGTTGATTTTATTGGGGATTTCCAGGAATGCCGGGAAGGGAACTGGAACTGGTGTGCCCCCCCCTCCGATTCCCTCCATGAAAGGGAAAAAACGAAAAGAAAAATAAAAAAAACAAAAAAAAATTCAAAATTCAAAATTGAAGATGTGTCTTGTTTTTGTTATTCCATTCTAGGGGATTGATGTCGCTGCTTTTGGATCTATCTCTTACCCTTTAGCAACCCCCCACAGTCGGAAGATTGAATACAATCTACTAAGAAGAGACTAGAGGATGTAGACATCTACACCGCTTTATCCCAATTCCCATCCCCAAAATGAAAGAAACGTCCGTGTGTCGCGACCAAAGCAACCTCCAGCAAGAAAAAAAAAAGAGCGTCAACTGGACACACTGGGAAGGACACCGGCGGAGGGCGAAAGATGGGCGAGAAGCGAAACTAAACACGGCCGATGGACTGAAGGGGCAAAAAGTACGGTGGAACCAACCATGTGTCTATGACGACCAGAATGAAAGCCCGCGATGGTGATTGGCGGAGGAGACCGTGATCAACTGAGGTTCTGCATGGACTCCATAATGGAGTATGCTCCGTGGAGTCAATCCAGGGAGGGCGAATCGGGTAGCTACTGCTGGCTAACCTGCAGCTCACTAGAGCGCCTTGGGACCTGGTTGCTGCGCAGAAATTTTTCTGATAGATAGACAGAAACAAACAAGCCATCCTTATCCCGCGATCAAGGCGACCGACCTACTGACTGACTTACTACTTACAGCCCAGTTTCTGACTTCCAGACTAAAATCGGAGTAGTTGTTTATTTGTTTTCTTTTTCTCACCGACAGATTCCGCGAAAATCGGACCATTTTTTGGGACCATCGGATTTGATGTTTCTTCTTTTCTCTAGCCTCGAACAAGTTACAAGTCTCCTGCTCGGTCGTTTTGTCTAAACTACGGGGCAACAACTTAAAGTACAATGGGATATACTGTGTCCCCTCCCACCGTGACGGCAAAACGGCGGCAACCACCTACGGGTAGATGCATCATAGCTTTAACACCTTCCATGGTACTTCATCTGCCTAGCTTGAAGGAATGCTTTGGTCCATGACAAGTGGGTGTGAAGTGTGTTGGCCATGGGCGCCTAGTGCTAGGACTCGAAAAGCAGGACCAAACCTTGGGACAGAAAAAAAAGGGACACACACACCACCGAAAAAGAAAAAATGGGTAAAAAAAAAAAAATGAAAGGAAGGAAGAGCACTAGACTACACATAAGAGCCTTACACTAGCGCATAGCGCTGCTGCAGGCGCTAGCCTTCCAAGTTACTGACTTATGCACTAACTTCGTAGGAGAAATGGAGGCAGGCAAAAACGCAACGAATCAGGGTGTACACGTAGCTCCACCTACAACCGCGGTCCCAAGGATAATCGTTCCTAGCGTCGCCGTTTGGAGCCTATAGCGAATCAGATCGGCGGCAGTGGAGTAGATGCCGGGTCGTCTAGAAGATTGGAATAGGACCCAATCGGATGGATGAGAGGTCGCGCTAAGACGAGAGCTGGACAAAGGGCACAGCGCGCGCCTTTCTGCATGGAACCCGGGCCTCGCCACTCCAGGCCTTGGCTGGGAGGGTGGGTTTTGGGATACCGCGACGAGGCTGTCATGCACATTATGCAGTAGCATGGGAGCTGGCCAGTCTCTTGTAGATAGTGGTGATCAGTGCAGAGAGAATACGGAGTATATGGCTTCAGCTATGCGATGTGTGTGTATGTGTGTGTACACACACAGACACAGTAATTATTATCTGCCTCTCTCACTGTAGATCGCGATATCGTGGGCGATGTATCACATCTCAGCAAGGGATCACCAACCTTATGCGATAGATGACGGTTCACCAATCATCTGAGTCACCATCACCAACGATATGAATCATTCCAGTTTCATCTTCATACTCCATAGTTAGTTTACCTGTCTTGTTGCCTGCTAGATATGTAACTCGTTATCTCCATCTCGTTGCCTAGGGATAAAAGTGTTATCAATTGTTCCAGGTATGTTCTTTACAGAGAAACAATGCAGACAAGACAATGGGTCAATCAGTCACAGCCACCCTTTCCCAACTCCACCTCACTCCACCATGCATTCATCATTGTACGTATGCAATTGTCATAGTTCCTGCAGTCCAGGGAATGCAATGCAGATGGACGGGAGAGGATGGGAGGCAGACGGGGGGTGGGTAGAGGGAAGGGAAGTCGTACAACTCACATGCTGCAATGTATGTATGTACTTTATCTCCACTCTTCCGTGGCGGGCAGCATCTGCAGCTGGATACAGGACAGACAGGTTGGAATTGAAGTTGTGTATCGTCATCGGCATCATCATCCCACCTCTTCAGCTTTTGTCGGTGCACAGATCGTCTGGATTTCATGCACGGTACTTGGTGATGGGTCTGTCCCACTATTCAGCTCTCGTATTCACAGACACTGATGTATCGATCTATTTGACATACCGTTTATGTGAAGAATAAACGGCATGAGAAGCAAGCGTCAGCCGGAGTATATCACTCCTGAATTTTAGAATGCTATACATAGTAGTCTAGATCAGGGCCCTCGGAACACTGACCAGTTAGTGGCTAGTACTCACTTTCCGTGCCTTTCAACGCGAAGTAAATAATCCTCACCCCAATAATAGACCGCATGTTCCCCTCCCTCCCTCCCTACATCTAAAGCATGTACCTAACCACCCCCAAACTTCAATATATCCATCAATACCTGCACAACACTGTCACAAACAAACAGAAAATATTCTCCGCCCCTCCTTCACCACGATACACACATAAACTCTATCCCACATACACCTACAATACTCACATAGTATATAATATATACACTGTATCCTGTGAGGGGACATACATACTTACAATCATCGCACAGGTACAAAGGAAAAAAATAATTTAGTAGCGTAAGCATAAGCCCAGCCCAGCCTAGCCTCCATGTAGTCTAGTGCGTGCAGAATCAGGCCAACACATCTATACTACCCCGCAGATCCAGAGCATCTTCGTAACAACAACGCCATCTTGACTTCACCTCGACGATCTATTGCTTCTATCGTCTCAGGTGATCGGGTCAAACCATGGTTTTGTTGGTCTCCTTCGACACCGGTTCTGGGTTGGGATTGTTGGCCCGGTGATGTAGTTCTTTCTTTGGGGGGTGATGTGTTCGCGTCGCGTGACTGGGGGGCATGGGTGGTGGGATATCATGTTGGTTGTCGGGTAATGAGTTAGAGTTCAATATTAGTGATGGTTAAATATAGTTTGGGGAATTATAGTAGTGCATGGACAAGAACTGGGAGTGGAATAGTGGTTTGGTGTTTCAGTGACTGTAGTACCTTGGTTGGATTAGATGTATGTTCATGTTTCCATTCGAGGACGTCACTGGTCAAATCACTGCTATGATCATAGTATTATACTTACCTCATATTTCACGTATAACCGACATTCATTATTTACTTGAGCTACAAGGTACAGCTACTACAGTTAAGGTGAATAGTAGCGAGTAAATACGCAAGTCATCTTCACATTGTGACCCAAACTGTCTATTATATAGTGATAATTATAATACCCGCCATGCATATTTACAAATACATCCAGTCATCCAAGTCTATCATGAACTAGCTAATATACAAGTGACATCCTCGACACCATCACTTCTCCGTCCTCGCCGGCCGCAAGACATACTTCCACGTCGTCCCAAAATGCCAGCGTTTCTCCTCCACCACCTCCAACCCACTATCCCGCACGATCTTCCCAATATCCCGATTCCACCAACACCCATGCCTATCCGCATGCGCCGACGCCAAATTATCCAAGATGCGGTTGAGCCAATCATAGTGGGACCGCCCGTGCTCCAACAACAAGATCTCTCCCTTATTCGGCTCAACAACCGTCCCCAGATGGCGCAACGTGCCCACGGGATCCGGCATCGAACAAAGCCCCATGGTCTGCACCACCGTATCATAATAACCCTCATCACCCTTCCGTGACGGATCAACCGGACGCCTAGGCACGCCTGCGGCATCCTGTACTTCGAAATTCACCGGCACCTCATGCTCCGGGAACTGTTTCGCAAACTTGGCCTTCGTAATCTCCACCATCTCCGGACTCAAATCCACAAATGTTACGGACCGACATCCATGCATGCCTGCGCGTCCCTTGCTATCCAGTCCCCTCCGCTGCCCGAGTTCATAATACTGGAGGTTTCGGCCGGTACCGCAGCTGACTTCGAGGACGTCGCCGCGTGCGCGACTGATCAGGTCTGCGCGCTTGGAGCCCATGCGCATGACTTTCTCGGACATTTCGACGTCTGCGTCGAAGGTGCGTGCGGTGTGGTTGTAGCGGTCGGAAACATCGTGGGGGACAGAGAGGGATTGCGATTGAGTGACTTCGCGACGGTAGGAGGCATAGAGGTAGCCGATGTAGGTGCTGAGAGTGAGGGCGCTGACGCCGAAGATGGTCATGACTCTGGGCGAGACGGGGGCGGACGGGGGCGTGGAAGGGAGATCCTTGAGGTGTTGGTTGGCGCGTTTAGGTAGGGTTTTGGGTCTGCACATTACAGTAAGTCAGTAGGCGTCAACAGGTTGTGACTGACAAAGAGAGACACGGGCAATGCGGAGTCGATGAGACTAACCCGGTGCCGTCTGCCACTGGGAATCGAGGCGCTGGCTTGGAAGCAGAAGCAGAAGCAGGCAACTTGGCCTTCTTCAGCGCTGCTCGCCCGACCCGTGGTGCGCTCATGGTTGCGGCGACTGGAGTGATGTAGAATAAGATGCGGAGGTGGGAGGAAAAGATGGAGAAGTTGGAGAAACCCAAAAAGATCGGACACCGACCGCCAAGACAATCAGGCACGGGCTTGTTAATTTGATTTGCCAATGCGCCGTTATCGCTGCATCTCCAAATCATACCACCAACTATATAGCCTCTTATTTCCCCTCATCTCTTGGAAGTCGACCTCCTCTCAAGTTATCCCGTTCACTTCTCCATTTTCCTTCATAGATTATTGCTCCTCCGCCCGCAACATGTCACTCCCCGCCAACATCCTTATCGTCGGCGGAGGGGTCTTCGGCCGTAAGTCGCACCACACACACCGCACCCATTTCCCCGGGTTTTCAGCATGAGCTAGATTGCTCATTCAATCCAGTATCTACGGCTCTCTCCCTCTCGCACCGCCATCCCAACTCCCAAATCACCCTCCTGGAAGCCTCCCCAATAATCCCCAACCCGCATGGCTCCTCCGTCGACTCCTCTCGCATCGTTCGTGCCGACTACTCCCAACCACACTACGCCAAACTCGCCGCTGAGGCTCTCGATCTCTGGCGCAACACCGACTGGGGCAAGGAAGGCCGTTACACCCAGAACGGTCTCCTCCTGGTCTACCCTCCCGGTAGTACCAATGCCCGCGACTACGCCAACAAGAGCTACGAAAACGTCAAGCAAATCCCCGGTCAAGATGTCGAGCTCCTCCCCACTCGCGAGGACGTCGCACGTGCCGCCCCGGCCTACGGAGTGAATCTCAGCGTCGAAGGAGGCTACGTGAACTGGGGCTCAGGCTGGTCCGACGCTGAAGCGGGTGTCCGGTACACCAAGCAGCGTCTGGACCAAGAAGGCAAAGTGATCTTCAAGACCGGCGACGTGAGCAGTCTCCAATATAGCAACGACAAGTCCAACAGAGTCACTGGCGTCAACCTTGCCGACGGATCATCCCTAACAGCCGACCTTGTCATTCTCGCAACAGGAGCCTGGACCGCCAAGCTCGTCGATCTACGCGGTCGAACCGTCCAGACCGGTCAAGCAATCGCATACATCCGCATTTCGGACGAAGAACAGAAGCGGTTCGAGCATATGCCTACGATTCTCAACTTCGCGACGGGCATCTTCATCATCCCGCCGCGGAACAACATGCTCAAGATCGCCCGACATGCATACGGTTACGTTAACCCCGTCCAGGTCCCGGTTCCTGGCACCGCCCAGGATGAAGGAAAGAGAATGAAAGTCAGTCTGCCAGAGAAGGGAGTTCCTATTCCTGCTGAAGGCGAAAAAGCATTCCGGGAGGCTTTGAAGGAGCTGATTCCCTCCTTTGCGGATCGGCCGTTCGCTGAGACTCGCATCTGCTGGTATACTGATACGTGAGTGCCCTTGTCATATTCAGCTGTCTCCGATTGAATGCCTGACTAACATTTGTGATTGGCACAGCCCCAAGGGCGACTTCATCATAACCTACCACCCCGACCATCCTGGTCTCTTCCTCGCTACAGGCGGCAGTGGTCATGGATACAAGTTCCTCCCCGTGCTGGGCGACAAGATCGTCGACGCGCTGGAAGGTAAGCTGGAGCCTGCACTGCAGGACTTGTGGAAGTGGCCTGCTGCAGTGCCGGAGAGTGAGTTTGATGGAACCGAGGATGGCAGTCGCTCGGGACCGAAGGGGATGCGGTTGATGGATGAGTTGTTGAAGACGAGAAAGGCGAAGAGGGGCAGTTTGTTGTGAGGGAAAAATAAGTGGTACGTGCCTATAGATTAGAGTTTGCTGTTCCGTAGACCTCACTAGGCGGTATATATCGATGGTGTAAATATGCAGTGGAAGGTATGTGGTCGGATGAAATGGAGATTTCGAGACATCATCTGGCTCGATCCTAGGAAAACTGGGCAGTTCAACTGCAAGACATGGGAATACATCCGTCCAGTAAACTAACACCCAAGGTGATAGTACATGAATTCACATTCAAGGTAGAGAGTCCTTGCCTAAGCAGGATGGGCAGTTACTGCCTTTCTAGTATATCTATCAACCACGCAAGGAAGCGAATTGGAAAATGTACTCGACTGTAGTCATATCACCTCTGTCGGAATGAAACCTCACAATCGCCCCTCTCTCTCCCTGAAATCCGTCGACAATCCTGCTAAAAACAAAGATTAGAGCTTTTTGCTCCAAGTATCCAGACAAGTCACCCGCTAATAGAAAGGTTCCCTTCATCCATTACTGACAACACAGCTGACCATCTAGTTCACTTATCGTCTCTCGCTCACCAACCCTCCTACTTCTTTTGAAGCCTCCAGCCAAACTCCCATCTATCTGCGCCATGTCTTTTCAAGGATGCAGTGCAAATTTCAAATCAGGGTTAGTCGAGATAGATTGTCCCTTCAAACATGGCATTTCCCCCCCCCCTTACCATCGGGCCTGACCCGGAGATATGTCCCGAGTGCCACCACCTGACTGGGAAGTGCGAGCATGTGTTCGATATCCCACGCCTTTTCAGAGGACAACCTGTTACAGATATGGTTGGCTTTACAGGACGTCCGACGACTTTATGGTTCTTCCGTCACCTCTACACACAACCTAAGTCCATCCTTCTAGTTGAATTGAGTTACATCGCCCTTTCTGATATGTGTATGCTAACCAAATGATATATAGATGGGTAAGGTACCTCCTGATCGATGCTGACAAAAACGAAAAAAGATAATCAGTATGGAACCAAGCAATTAAAACAAGAATACATAATACTTACCACTAAGTAGAGAACTACGGTGATACTTGCTAGCATCATCATATTCGTCTAGCTGGTTAGCAAACGAAACAAGCACCGACTGCTACAGATACATATCCCATTACATTTATTGCCCCAAATAGAAACAAACATATTTAGATGGAAAGAAAGTCAAGGATAAGAGTACACTAAACTAGAGCTTTTCTTCATTTGAATCAACAGCACCGACCGAATGTCAAACACACATGAAGTCCTACACGCGAAGTACTACATACAGCCAGACAGGTTTAGTGGCATGACATCAGTAATGTACCACCCATTGTTTCAGGAAGAACGGTGGGGATACCCCAAATCACGGGGAATTGGTTCATGCAAGGGTCCCGTCCGCAGTGTTTATCTATCAGGAATCAGGTACACACTTAAATAAGACATTGGCCAAGACTTAATTAAACTATAGACTATCAAGCTACACAGATTTAAGATTAATGTCCGACAGTTTCACACTGCCGTGCTACATCATATGACACTGGAGCAAACCCAGATGCATGCATGTCTCAAGTTCATTTTCTACCCACAAGAGGACTAAGCAATAGTCAAAAAATGATTATGCCACTATTTGGAACCTGGGCACGCGCCCATCCTTCATTCTCCCAGTTTATTTCATCCACTTCCGTAGCAGAGCGTAGCGATCTAGAACAATAAACACGAAAGATTTTTTTGGGTGCTTGAGCTTGAGAGTTAACCCTCCGAATCAATAGCAAGCAAGTCCTCGGAGGTCCGAACCACCTCGAGCGATAACCTTGGCCATCACTCGAGGGTCACTGCCAATAGGCAAAGAACAGAAAACCAATAATTAGAAGGAGGCAACCATTCGACCAGCGCACAGTACCGCCCCCTTGAATCTGCGGTGTGCGACTATCTAAGATGGTGAGACACTTTGTTTGTTGAAACAGGAAGGAAAAAAAGATAATAGAGACCAATCGCTCGAACGCCGTACAGATGCTAGCATGAAAATCGTGATGTGCAAAGGTGTAGAAGGAAAAAAAGAAAATCGGAACAGAAAAAAAAGCATCAGCCGTGCTGGGTTGAAGCGCGTTGTCCGTTCATAGTACAACCTCGCGGGCCAGTGCAAGGGGAAAAGCCGAGTGTTAATACAAGTTGATGAAGATGGGAAGGACGAGGTGGTCGAGATCTTCCTGAGAAAGGCGATGCCCTTTTAGACTTTACGGAAATCTTTACAGCTGGTTAGCAAGAGGTCCACTTCAGATCCGAAGCGAGGAGAGCGATGCATACCCGAAAGCACAGGATAGATCAGTTCGAACGCCTGGTAGATCTCCTCACGGACCTTAGCACCAGTGAGGACGATCTTTCCACTGACGAAGATAAGCAGTACGATCTTAGGCTTCATCATGCGGTAGATAAGACCGGGGAACAACTCAGGTTCGTAGGAACTGAAGTTGTGATGGCGACTGGCCAAACCCTCCAGGCGGATGGGGAACTTGATATCGCAAGAACCCACGATGTTCTGGATCTTGAAATCCGTGAACTTGGCATTGAAACCAAGCTTCTGGATGATACGCGCGTACTTTCTGGAAGCCAGCTTGGAGTCATCCTCCGACTTGGCACCAGTAACCACCATCTTGCCCGAGGCGAAGATCAAAGCGGTCGTCTTCGGCTCTCGGATACGCATGATCACGGCCGCGAAACGCTATTGGAAGAAAAAAAGAACAGTTCAGCCACACTATGCCCTGACATATCAAGCACAGGGAGGTGTGGAAAGTAATACCTTAGGGTTGTACTCCGCATTTCTTGCGTGGAGTGCGATCGTTTTCAAGTCCAGACGACAGTCAAGGTTGACCGTCGCGACAATGTTTCTTTAAAGAAGAAAGAGAGATCATTGTTCAGTAATCTGGTGACCCAGAAGTAGAGACAGCAAGAGTATACTCACTGCAACGTAGGCACAATGCCACTTCCCGGAGTGTTGGCACCGGGAGTCGCAGCTGGAGTTGCGGGCGCCACCCCGTTGCCATTAGTGGCATTTCCTCCCTGCTGCTGACCGTTCATCATCCCATTCGCACCCTGAGCCATCGCCATGTTCCCGTCTTTATCGGAAGGCGGAGTCAAATCGCCGGCACCACCGGGGAAGGACAGAGAAGCGGGGGAAGTGAAGGCCCGGGCCTGCTGCGCGGTAGAAGGATGGGTCGTAAGAGAATCCATCGCGACGTGAGTAGTGGAGTACTCGAGCCGTAAACCAGCCGACGCTGAGATAATAGAAAAGCTTTTTTCAGATAGCAGTCTGTGAAGACGCAGAACTCAAAGTCAGTCAAGAGAGGACAGACAAGGTGAGTGGCAAATGGAGATGACGCTCAGGAAGACTCAAAAGAGCAACAGGTTTCCTGAAGTGTTTGCCTGAGATAGGCAATACACGTGAGGTCAAAGCCAAGTGAAGAGAACAACGTACCCTTTGCGGGAGATGGACAAGTCAATGTCTCCCCTGCAGCAATACTGCCTTGGGATCCAAGCGATAAACCGTTTCGAAGACGAAACGGAATGAAGTCAAGGTGGAGTGCAAAGGTATGTGACAGGCGATGACAAAAAGCCGCCGCGGAAGGAGGATAGGATGAATGGAGGTAAGGGAATAAGGGCAACAACCAGGGGACTAGAAAAGCACAGTGAAGTGTTTTCTAGGGAGATTAACTCAAGAGCAGCAGCGTTCACAGACTTATGGGTCAAGTAAGTGAACAAGTGCAGAAGAGGAAGGGAGTGTGAAGTGACAGAAAAAGCACGTTGTTTTTTTTTTGTGGTAGATGACACAACTTTTTTTGAGGGGAGGAAGGTGCGTGTGTTTTGTTTGCTTTTCTTTGGTTTTTGTATGAATTGGGAATGTCTATCTGCGATTTGGAGAGAGAGTGGCGAAGATGCACACCTGAGGCTGCAAACTTCCTGTTTCAGTAACGGGGACTGATAACGGTGGAGTCAGAAAGAGAAAAGAGAAAGGGAAGAGAAAAGAATTTTTCTTTCCCTATTTGATACTCTTTTTCTTTTCTTGGCTTCCTAAAAATCTTCTTCCCGGAAAATGTTTAGATTCCAGCAGGTTGTTAGCAGAGATATAAACAGCTGATATCAGCAGTAATCTCTGCAAACCGTACGTGAGTGTGGAGAGAGAGTATAGGGAGGGGAGGGGAGGATGGCGGGCGGGAAGAGAGGACAGTATGGCTTTCCGGGCGGTGCCAAGACCAGGATCAAAAATTCCAACAGCGACAGGAAAGTGGGAGGTTGGGCCTTTATATAGGCTGAGTCACAGCGCCCGGGCGCAGCTGGCGTCAGGGGGGGCTGGGCCCGGCGGCGGCGGCAAAAGCAGCGACGAGTGAGTCGCTTTCACCTATTTTCACCCATGGAAGTGGCCGCTCTGGCACTGCTCGCTGCGTGTTAGCGCCTCCACTAGCGGCTCTTGGGTGGCCAAGCGCCATTCCGTCATCTCTGGTTTGTTGATCGGCGACTCCACTCATCACGCCTGCGCCCGTTCTCGTTGGCTGTCGCCCCCCTTACGCTGGGGTTGCAGGCCTGCAGCCACTCATCTCCCCAGCCAGTCCGCGTCGCTCCTGCAACTGATAACTCTGACCCACTTTCCAGTCCATCCATTCTTCAGTCTACCAATCATGCCGCCTTACTGTTCTCGGCTTTTTCCCCTTCACTCCCTCTCTTTTTTTTTCTTTTCTTTTCTTTTGCCTTGCCGCTTTAGCGCTGGCCAACTGAACAAAAATTTCTTCGATCCCTTTCACTCACTCTTCCTGATTGATTTCTTCCGGGCACACAAAAACCCTTTGGGGGAAGGAGATTTTTGTTTTTGTTTGGGCCCGATACATCGATGATCATCAAGATGATTCCACAGTACTTACACTACAGTCACAGCTATCTACCATCAACAGCGGCTAATCAAATCGATGAATCTCATTCTTGAGTCACAGTCTTCCGTTCTGTTTGTCCAGGAAAGTTGACCAGTCGTGAATCTGCTCATCCCGGTACGCGCCGGTCGCGTCGTCGGTCGCGTCATGGGGTTCATCCCGCGCGAGGCCGTTCTCGCCTCTCATTTGGCGTTTGATTTGCCGCTTCCCAGCCAAGTTCCATACCATCATAATAACATACCCCAGACAACTTATAGTAGATCTCAGGCCATTACCAGCCTATTTGATCCACTAATCTTGCCCCCTCCGATCGTAGCCTTGCGCTGCGGTCGGTGTTCATTCATTAATTTTAGTGCAGGGGACGGAAGTAGCCTCGACAAGGGTCATAGGCTACTGACCTTTTTTTCCCCTAACGCGCAACTCAAATCTCAGCTTCAAAGGAAAACTTCCGCGACGCGACTTTTTGACTCAACTGTCGGTCGGTCGCTCGGTCGGTCGGCAGGCAGCGGCTACAGCCGTCTTCAATACGTAATCCGGCCAGGTGGCCTTTCCCATACTTTTTTCCTTTCCGTCTAAGTTTGTTACAACTTCAGCCTCCCCGGAATATCTACTGTTATTAGAATGGTTGGTGTGGGATGGATCCCGTTTCAAGTCTACTTTCACTTTTCACTTTTCACTTTACCATGGGTACATGCCGGACGGAGGACATCATGACTAGAATAATCCCGTACCACTCCGTCGGTACAAACTGTTGCCTATCCCTTCAGTGAGAATCAGCTTACTGTACACAAGTGTAGTAGTTGAAAGGTCAACAAAATAATTATCTATGCAACTACGGGGGAATAAATAAATACAAAAAGTCGGTCGGTAACATCACATGGGCTGTCAGCGTTAGTTGTCGCTTGCTTACTTGCTTGCTTGTTTGTTCGGCAAGCGGCAAAAAGCATCGCATTCGCATTCGGGAGCTTGGCGTCATAGGGTCGTTTGTTTTTGTGCCCTTTCATGTGATCATCATCATCTGGCGGTCACGTTGGCCCCCCTTTTTTCGGTCGCTGCATAGTTAATGCAGTAGTAAGTTACTACCTAACAGATATTCTTAGTTAAATACGATTGGGTTATGGTTATCATTGATCGTCAGTATACCGGTTTCTGTGGTGATTTTTCCGTTTTGGGAATTATATATATATTCTGCCCTACAGCAACTATCTACTACAACACATATACTCTTGAATACTAACTTAACACCCACTCCTATAGAGCATACATTCAATACATTCTCTCACTTATCCTAGAAGCCAAAATACCAATCCAGACTCCTATCTCAACCCCCTCATCCCCTTCCCCGGAGCCGGCAAATACGGCAAAACCACCAGTTCAAGAAACCGAACCCCCATAAACGCCGACAGGGTCAGAAAATAAAGCACCAGGAAAAAGAACCGCGGTTCTTTACATAGCCGATTAAACGAATTAACAACCTGCTTGAGGAGATCTTCCTCAGAGTCGAACTCCTCAAGCGGTTTATCCACAGGAAGAAAGAAACTATGCGCTTCTTGCTCGCGAGTCATCAGCATGAAATTATCGCGCCGGAATTGGCTCACGGTTCCTTTACCGCTGTCGGGGATGCCGCGGACGTAGAGGAGGGGGTAGAGGTCCATTAGGTTCATGAGTTTGGTGAGGGTGGTGTGGCGGGGGTTGGGGGGTTCTTCTACTATATATTATTTATTGTTATTGTTGGTGAAGGTTGGATGTGGGTGTGGGTTGTAGAGATAGAGGGGAGGGGAAGGGATGGGGAAGAAAATGCCTTTTCGCTGGGATCCAGCGCCCTTGTGATGTGCCATGGTGTGCTCGCACTCGACGCATTTATCTCCGAAATCGTTTGTGTGCGAGAGAAGGAAAACGCCCCTGTTGCAGGGACATTCTAGGCCTATATTGCCGGATTTGAGTTCCGCTTTGCATTTTCCGGCGGCCGTCAGGCGGATGGATGAAGGGGATGAGGAGGAAGTAGAAGAAGTGGAGGGGGTGTACACCACTTCTACGTCTTCATCGTCGTCGGTTGGAGAAGGAGTGGTAATGGTGCGAGTTGATGGCATGCTGGTTGAAGAACTGGAGACCATGTTTACTGTTGAGGAGTGGTTGATCTGTTGTTGTAGTATGATGATGGTGATGGTGAGTTTGGTCGTAGTAGGCCTGATAGCTACGTTTTGGGACTCAGAGACGGATGCGCGCCTTTTATAACTGTGTCGCGCCATTTTGATGATTAAGATTCTTTCTTGAGTTGGTTTCGTGAAGGTTCGGTCTGGATTGCTGCTTTAGAGCATGGTAGTTGCGGGGGTTAGGGACTGTATGACGGCGTTGTGAGGTTAGGGAATAGATTCATCGGGGGTTGTGATGGGGGATGATGGAATTCGGGAGTATTTACGGAAGTATGTTCCTGAATGCTTCTCATTTGCATGTGCTAGCAGTGCAGTTGGTTACATCATACACGGTATATGCTCGTGGAAAGGCTATGTGCTGGAAAGCATACTACTGCTGTGATATAGTAGCACATCTAGCATCAGACTTGCTTTTTGCTGCCTCAGCAATCAGTTTGAAACACTACCTAGACATCCGTGCGCTGCTATTCAGCCAGCTTACGCTGAGGAAAACATTTTATATCCCGAGTGAACGGTATACTCAGTAATTCATCGTCACCGCAGACTATGGAGTACAACTATATATATACAAGGCCCTATCCGGGCTCAACGCGCAATAACGTAACAGGCATCCACCGGCCTGGAAATGAAACATGATCAAACATTAATAACCAACGCCACAATGGATACTCTTATCCATTCAATCCTTTTTGTACCCTGATGAAGGGCGAAGACAAATATGTAAGTGTGGAAAGAACTCTAGGCCTAAGTCATAAAGTACTTCGGGCCCTCTCCACCTTGAGGAGTCTGCCAGTTAATATCCTGGGTAGGCACCTTGATATCACAGGTCTTGCAGTGAATGCAGCTATGACCAGTTAGCAAGAAAAACAGTAGGAGCATGTAGGGTTGACTTACTTCTGAGAGTTGATCTGGAAGCGAACACCGTGAGGCTTGCTAGCGTCCTCCACGTACTCATACACACCGGCAGGGCAGAAACGGTTCTCGACACCCTGGTACTTGGGCCAGGCAACATCGGTGTGCTTGTCCCAGTCTTCCACCTGCAAATGCACCGGCTGGTCTTCCTCGTGGTTGGTACCCGTGCGGCTGACGCTGGTGAGGATGTCGAAGCTGATCACTCCGTCCGGCTTGGGGTACTCGATCTTGTTGCATTCAGACGCCATCTTGGTCGCAGCAGCATCCGTGCCGTGGTGCTTCAAAGTCCAGGGAGCCTTGCCCTTGAGAACGTACGCTTCAAGACCAGAGTACAGGATACCGCCGTAGAGACCTAGTGGCGTGCTGAAAGAGGGCCGCATGTTACGCACCTCGTACAGCTCCTTCCAGATGGACGACTTGCGCAGAGCTTCTTCGTAGTCGAACAAGAATACAGAGCCTTCCGAGCTTCCCTGCAGGGCCGCATAAGCGGACTCAGCAGCAAGCATGGCCGACTTCATCGCAGAATGGGTACCCTTGATCTTCGGAACGTTCAAGAAACCGGCACTATCGCCAATCAGGGCTCCTCCCGGGAAAGCGCACTTCGGGATCGACTGGAATCCGCCCTCGTTCAAAGCCCGCGCGCCGTAGGAGATGCACTTTCCACCTTCCAGGACTTCCTTGTAAAGAGGGTGGTGCTTGAGCTTCTGGAACTCGCCATAGGGCGACAGCCAGGGGTTCGGGTAGTCCAACCCGACTACCAAGCCAATACTAACCATGTTGTCGCCAAAATGGTACATCCACGCACCACCATAGGTGTCGCTGGGAAGGGGGTAGCCCAAGGAGTGCGTGATCTCACCGGGTCTGAACTTCTCGGGTTGAATCTCCCAAATCTCCTTCACACCAATACCGTAGGTTTGGGGCTGGCTATCGCGTCTCAGGTCGTACTTCTTGATCACCTGCTTCGTCAAGCTACCATGGCAACCCTCAGCAAGAAGGGTAACGCGGGCGTGGAACTCCATTCCCCGCTCAAAGCTGTCCTTGGCCTTGCCGTCGCGACCGACTCCCAAATCATTGGTGGCTACACCGAGAACCGAGCCATCCGACTTCTTGTAGACGAGTTCACTGGCCGCAAAACCGGGGTATACTTCAACACCCAGTTCCTCAGCTCTTTCTCCCATCCATTTCGTGAGCTCGTTCAGACTGATAATGTAGTTGCCATGGTTGTTCATCTGTGGCGGCGCAGGGATCGGAATGGACGAGTTTTTAGTCAAAAAGCGCATCTTATCCTCCTTCGCCGGAGTCACATTCTCGAAGCGAGACGGATTGTCTTCCGACAGCCAATCTGGCAACAACTCGTTCATGGCGGTAGGCTCTAGGACGTTACCCGAAAGGACGTGTGCACCAAGTTCACCGGCCTTTTCCAGCACAATGACACGGAACTCCTCGTTGCCGGCTTCGTTGGCGAGTTGCTTCAATCGAATGGCAGCAGCCAGACCAGCAGGGCCTAATTTGTGATAAAGACAGTCGGTTAGTCACTGAATCCTGTGCCATACCTCTGACCGCCAAAGGAGAGAGGCCCGGGCCATTCTACATACCACCACCGACGATACAAACATCGACCTCATCCGACTCCCGGTCCAACTGTCGCGGATCAAAATTGCCATGCTCATCGGTCAGCTTTCGAGATAGTGATTGCGAAAAGGCCCGAGCCTGGATTGGCGGGAAGAACGATGTGCGACGAATGGCACGCTTGCCGGACGCTGCGAGGGAACTGTTTGAGATTCGAGCGGAGTTGTTGAAGGGGGCGAGAGGCGCGCAAGATCTGGAGAGTCGCGACCAAGTGGGTCGCAATTCGCGCCTCAAAAGAGGCAAGACAGCTCCTTTCGAAGCCATGGCGGGGGTTCAGGAAGGAAGCAAGGTTGGAGAGGTCACAGTATCGTTGCTTGGATGGGGAGCTCCTATAAACGAGACAACTGCATGGTAGGATGGGAGCAAGCAATGGGGGAAGGAGTGGCGAACGAAGAGGGCGCAGAAATGACTCCGAGCGGGATGATGTTGAAAGGAGTAGGAAGAAACAACTTCAAGCGTGGAATCCAGATCAGAAGAGTAAGTAGGCAAGTCCCCTCTCCGTCACCGGCAATGAAGGCGTGACTAATAATATGGCGGCCGTGGGATAAAATCTGGCGGTCGGCGTTGAAGGTTGCGGGCAGAACTTGGCCTGCCTTTGGACTACCCGAGGCTATGTCGGCCAATGGGGTCGTCGGTGATGGGAATCACTCGCACGCTTGCCGCTCCGCCCGCGGGTTTGCCGTCAATCCCGTCGGATATCATTTTGGCGGTGCTCCAACCCTGGGGTCAATTGATCGAGTCTCGCATGTAGCCGTCTTCGGATATATCATGGTGCCACTTTCCATCCGAGGGAATCCACCATAGGGACGACGTTACAGTGCTGGCAGATCCATTGTGCCAAATGCTGGCTCTACTGGCCTGAACTCAACGACGGCATCGCCTATACTGCGGCTGATGTAACAGTGATGCCGGTAGAAAGATCACCCATACATGGATAACTTATGACTACCAGTTATATACAATTTGAACATTCAGTCAGAAGCTCTACTACCTGCCAACGCCTCTCCAAGTGGCTCAATCTCCCGGAAGAAAAAGGGTTGATGACTTGTCCAGCATCCTGATAATAAAATTGCACGTGATCAAGGCATAACCCAGAGGAGAGCCATTTTCATGTGAAGCGAAGCCTCCGAACACATGTTCTTCTATAGTATATCCTGACTGCTGAGTGCTCTGTGCTGCAAGGATCCCCGCTTAGGGCCCTACTAAAATCGCTTCCTCATAAGTGGAGTCTGTCCGGTGTCTTCTAATGCAGGCTATGGCTTTACTCCCTTTACCGCTCCACTGGTCCCTTTGTATGTCCACCACTTACCTCTGGAACTCATATCTGCCCTTCTTGCTTCCTGTCACATCCGTTTCTTTCTTTGCTTATGTTGCTCATGCAAATCATCTGTGCAAGTTCTACTGAGTATACTATAAATGATAAATATGGGATTTATACAGCGCTCCCCTACTTTGCACACTTCATACCTACGCTCCTGTCTCCACTGTGTAGCATTTCAGTCTCCTTTACATAGTATGTTATCGATGATACCTCGTCTCTTCACTCCCCTCATATGTCTTGATTCCCCTACAGCGGTGACTGCCTCATTCAATATTGCAAGTTTTGAAGATAGGTGGTGCGACTACTTCACATTCTACATGCCTTCACTGCATTTCGTTGGCTTATAAAATCGCTTCTTCCTCATTCTACGAGCGAACTGACCTCTCATTACTTCCATAACCCCATCAGCAACTGTCATTACCACCACTACTATCATTACCCCTGGGTTGCCTCCATGTCTCTAGCTTATATCAGGCCGCAGCCTTCGTTGATTTTATATATGTGCTCTTGGTTATTCCTACTACTCCTATATATATTCTAGCTAGCCTGAAAGATAGAGCCAGTTGCTCTTGTCAAAAATGTCTCAGGTAAAGGACCACTAATGTTCCCACTCGTTGCCAACATTCTCCACCTTATTTCTAGCCATAACTACGAATACGACATGACCGGTAGCGACAAATCCGATATTCTAGCTATTTATCACTACTATTTCTGCATGACTATACGCGGGGTCGAAGTCTGCAATATCTCCAACCTTTCCGAATGGAGATATACCATAAACATCGCAAAACCCACTTGATCCCAGACGCGCTTTCAATACTATCATCGTATTGCAAAGATGAAGTCGCACCGTAATCGCTCGAATCCCTCTACGGGACCAATGTCGAGCCTGCCGCAAGACCCGTCGCCGTGGTGGTGGTGCTGCGATTCACTTTATACCTGTTTCTCGGCATATTTTCTCATCAAAAGTGTCCCACTAGGAACAACAATAGTGAAACAGGATAGTTTCGCCGACTTTCTGATCGATACTTCTATGGCTAACCAACTGGACGCCCACCGGGCTTCTATGAATGCCTCTGAACTCGTGGATATTCTCCAGTGGTATGCTGCTTCAGTTTACAATGTTAATTGAAAAGAAAGATGAATATACCATGGGATATGATCAAGGAGTGCTACAAGCTATCAATGACAATATGATCCACTTGGGAAAAACATTCAAGAATATAGTATATTATTATACAAACATTATCTACAAACATTATGACCATCTGATGGTGTCTCAAAAACGAGTATATCAGTATAGTGCTTTTCTGAAGTTAATTGATTGACCGGTCAAATTTGGCAATTCATGAGGAGGTAGGGAGTTTTAATGGCAAAATATCCAGATAAATCGGTATATATAACCAATACGTGCCGTTTCATAGCATGACAATAGCACTCTTGGTATACAGGCTAGGATAGTACGCAATACAATGTAATAGGAAGATATATGATGTGGGTAAAAGTAAGACACTTCCTTACGTTTGTACTTTAGGGATAGCGATAGCTACAGTCAAGTACATACATTGTAGGGTGGGATATGTCGAAGACTGCCTTCTGAGGACATACTTAGACGCTGTGCCAATTTCAATACAAAGTATGTCCACGCCGATCAAAGCCAGAACGTCATCAACTTAACAAAAAGAATCCACAATTCTATAAACATATTTTCTTTAGTATTTAATTGAGGTGCTGACTACCCTCACAGTCAGATCATATTACCTTAACACAAATCTTCCTTGAAGATTACAAAATAAAATTTGTCCAGCCACCCTGTGGCAAATATGCATCACTTTGCCTGATGATGAGATCAGTCATATTCATTGGAGCTGAACCTCAGCTGCGACTGCATACCTGCAGAATTGACAGCCTTGTTAATTGCTTGGCAGGGACTATACCCAGTGCAGGTTAGTGGAGGTCCCATATCTCTACATTACAAAGTAATTAATTAGTATGGGGTAGTTAGATGTTTAACAGCAAGAAACAACAAAGTGATAATCAGTGGCGGAGATAACCTGGCGTAGAAGTACTTCAATTATCAATATGTTATAGACGTTCATTTAATTGTCATTCTTCCTTCGATCATTGTCTAACATATTGTTACTACTGTTTGTGTTTTAGAAGGTTGAAACGACTCAAGCATTCAACTACTTTTAGTAGGAAGCTTGACCGGGCCACCCAAGTGGGCTGAAGCCGAGATAATTATAGAGGATGCAGCAGGGCTGTACCGGAGTAGTGGTGCTGGTTCATAGGACTCGAGTAAGGCCCATGTAGATCCGCTGCTCAACATTCAACATAATACTATGAACTGGAATATGGGCCACAGCACTGCCTCTTGTAGACTACATGACAAAATCCAGAAAAGGTCAGGCGGGGCCACGTGGATCCCGCCGAGGGAAACAAAGTGAGGCGATTCCAGACTGAGGCTTCCTATTGGGTGCCCTCCCACCGCCAGCATCAACTTGAATTTCGATTTCCACCCGGATTTCTGGTCTGGCAGGGCGGTCAGCCTCTCCCAATCAGTCCGCGCTTCTCCTCTTTTCCCTGCTGTGACCCGGTCGATTCGCCCTCAAAACTCTCCTTTCTCCCTCGTCTCTTCTCTGATCCTGCTGTCTCGCTCTCTTTGCCCAGCGCTTCCCTGGATTCCCCGTGCTGCCGCTCTCCTTCTCCCGCTCAACCGGCTCTCCGTTACCTTCTAACCCTCTTCCAGTCCCGATTGTGTGTGTGTCTCCGCGCGCGCGAAGGCCAGCTTCCATCTGAGAGCTACTGGTTGTCTGGTTCAGCTGTCCCCTCAGCGTACCAAACTATCCTCTCCTTGCTTCCCTAATCAATCAGGCCCACCGTTACCTTCTGGAACCGTTCTATGGTCCTCGCATTCCCCGGATAAACACCAGGAACTATCTCTCTGCTGAATACCACCGCCATCCAACTGCCAGCGTTAAATTGCCCAGGATAACGACCCGTTTGACCCCTCAAGGATCCGTTTCCATTTCAGTCGCCTGTACCATCACTGAATCAAAATCTTCTTATTTGGGCCACATTCCCGCAAGGCCAGAAGTATTGCGATTGCGATTTGCTTGTTAGTCCGCCTGGACGGATTTCGCCTCGACCAATTGTGTGTGCTGTGCTAGTCTTACCTCTTTCACCATCTACTATCCGCCATGACTGAAGTCTCGTCCACCCGACTCTATCTCGGGAACCTTCCCCGCAATGGTATGAAGCCATCTACAAAGTCTCCTTAGGTCTCCTTGTTTTCTCTTCAACCCGCTCTGGATGTTACCCTTCTTGTCCACCTCTATCTTCGACACAAAGATCGGGATGTTCCGCTGGATCGTCATGCGTCTGGATTGACCTTCCTGAGTCACCGAGATTCCCCCTCCCCTCGGGAGATTGACGGCGGATTTTCCTTCATTTTGTTTCAATCTTCCTTGCTTGTATCACGGTAATCTCAGTGTTCCGGATACCGGGTTGGCAGCTTCGAACTCAAAAATCAAGTTGTCTCGGTTGTTTGTTCCTTCAAGTCCATTCGCAGTAAGCTGACATTTTACTCACGGCGCCCCTGTTGGGCGCCATTAGTGGGGTTTCTTTTACAGTGACCAAACAGGATATCGAGGAGCATTTCAGCACCCATGGTTCCGGAAAGATTACAGAGATCAAGCTCATGAATGGCTTCGGTTTCATTGAATATGAGGATGCGATGGATGCTAGAGATGTTGTACCCGGTAAGTCACCCTATTATGCGCCCTAGCTGTCGCGGGAGCCTGCTAACGTAGGACGATTATCTAGCCTTCCGTATGTACCAACGCAAGCACCAGTTTGAAAGATCTTCATGGTTGACATAACCCCTCATGCAGACGGTAGTGATTTCAAAGGCGAGCGCCTCACCGTGCAATTTGCCCGTGGACCGCGCCGCAAGGAGAACTTCCCTGGCCCAATGGACCGTCCCAATATGCCTCGTCCGCGTCGCACGATCTTTCGCATGATGGTTTCTGGACTCCCGGAAACAAGTTGGCAGGTTAGCAGCCCAAGTCCCCTTTCTTCTGGATCCACCGGACGCCTTGCATCTCGGCCGATTTGCGTTCCCTGATTCATTTTTGCCCTGTACTCCATTCTATGTTCTTCCACCGACGGCCCAAGGGAATCCTGGCGACGATGATCAGCTCCTCTTGATGTATGGGTCGTTCACCAACCAACTTTCGGACCCCACCTAACTGAAAGGAAGGCTGGATGGCTGCCTCCCATGATCGAACCCCAGCTCTGAGTGCTGAGAACCGAGGCCGGACAACCCCGTCCAGAATGGAACGCCCCCGCAGTCATTGAAGGATCCCTTCGCCTACTACCCTGCATTGCTTGGGTCCTTTCCTGGCCTGTTTTTCCATCTTGTATTTTTCTACTTGCGGGCACCCGGACACATCGGATACCACTGTACCACTTTTGCACCTGGATATGGACTCACACCCTGGGGTTATCTAGGATCTTAAAGACTTTGCACGTCAATCTGGCTTGGACGTGGTTTACTCTGAAACTGGCCGTGAACTCGGCAGAGGGTGGGTTAATCCTTCAACTTTCTATCCGGTCGGACAGGGCCCCATTGACACATGCTCCCAAGATTCGTGGAATTTGAAACCGCCAACGACCTGAAGACGGCCATTGAGAAACTGGATGGACGTGAATTCAAAGGCTCCCGCGTCACTTGCATTGCCGATGTAAGCAACTTTACTGGTACCTGTGATCTGAGTGGAACGAGAATTCTCATACCCTTCCTAGATTCAAACTTACCCGGATGAACGTGCCATTCGTGACCCGTACCGGTCTCGATCCCCGCGTCGGAGCTACCCTCCCATGGATGAATATGACCGGCGGTTCCCTGCGCCACGGGGATACAGCCCCCGGGCTCACTATCGGGAACGCTCCCCCATTCCAATCCGGAGGGACTATTATGACCGGGATGGATATGGACGTCGTACTCCCCCCCGCCCTCGGATGGAAGACTACCCTCCCCCGCGTCGTCCCTACGATGACCCGTACGATGTCCGCCCGCCACCACCACCTCGCCATTATGACGACCCCTACGCACCCCCTCGCCCTTATGGACGGCCTCGCAGTCCACCTCGGGGCGAGTACATGCCTTACGACCGCCGCGGATACTGGTAGTTGTCTGTAATTAGCTCGTTGGTTGTGTTCCACTCAGCGCATGGCGGATACCCATTGTGCATGCTTTCCCCCCTTTGTTTTCTCTTGTTGATTGGTTTCCCCTCTCATGGCCGTTCCGGGATGAGTTGATATCCCCCATCTCGGAGTCAGCTTCTGGATCGGACACGGCCCAAGATACGAATGTGTGTGTGTGTCAGATTGACACGGACAACGGAACGACACTGGCGCTTGTTTTCATCACTTGATGTGACCATGATATCTAGCCCCGCTGGTTCCGGGCTCCGACTGGAAGGTTTATTCGAGGTTAAAAAGCAGGCGTATGTGGACAGCCGTGTCGGTGGTTTTTGCCGGTGTGGACGGCTTCCTGCACATAATGTACGGATGAACCTGCGGATGCGGATGGATCTTGGCCTTTAACGTAATTACCCACGATGTCGATCATTTTACCCTCCGGGATATTGTGTATAGTTCACCAACTAAAATATAGTATTTCCACGCTTGTGGATTGTGGAAGGAGAGTACATAGCTGGATGTGGTTGTGTAGGAATAGTTTACTACAAGTGACTCGCGTGGGTCCCGCAGAAGAGAGCAGCTCCCCGCGCTAAACCAAACCCCGCCATCGTCTCGTCATCCGCAGCTCGCGCGAAATTTCCTTCCATCGCTGCTCTTTGTTCGAGAATTTCTCCGCGGTGGGATTAAATTTCAAATTCAGAAAGGCCAATTGATCCGTGCGACTGCAGTGGTAGCTTTCTGTATCTGGTGGGTGCTATTTTCTACCGAGAGTTCGACTGGAGCTCCCATGCTTACTGGTTGACGTCACAACAGCCCATTGATTGTCTGGTACTCCAGCAGCTGCAGCTTCGAGCTCGTTACCTCAGGAGCTGACTAGATTCAGCTCCCTCTTTCCAGATCTCCGTCCCCCACCTACAGTCACCATGGCCGATCAACGCGTAAATGTCCATATCCCATCCCACCCCCCGGTGCTGGATAGCGTGCGTCTCCGCAACATTGAACTGCCCCTCCCTGCTGCCCCGGACCCGTGGCACCGTCCCGGTAAATCGCAGCCTTGCACGGCATCGCTGAAGCTCTCATACTCCTCCGCCGTGGCCGCCGCCATTGCCGACGATGTCTCCCTCTCCTTGGACTACGGCAAGCTCTACCGCCGTCTCGAAGAGGATATCCGCAACCTGGGCAAGCATCCCGAGAATCCGGGACACCGAATGATCAGTGTCGACGGCAGCCGTCGCGACGAGATGCTGGCAAGTGATGTGGGACAGGATGTGCGCTTGACGGCCGGAATTGTGGCTCATTGTGGCCTGGGACTATTGGATGAGACCGCTGCCGGGGTTCGTAGGATGTCGCACGTGCACAACACTCAGCGGAGAAGCAGTGCTTCGGCGGGCTCTCAGTCCCAGGCTCTGGCGGCAATTTTCAATTCAGCTTCGACTTCGCCTATTGATGGGGTGTTTGGTCAATGTGAAGTGTCTTTGCATCTTCCCAAGGCATTGCTGCGTGCGGAAGAAGGACTCAAGTACCGGAGTGTGACGGTGTGGGGATACCGTCAGGCTAATGAGGCTATTACGGACGACGTGGGAGAGTCAGAGAGGTGTCCGGTTGTGCTGGAGGAGGAGTTCCGCATTGATGGGATCCGTTGTTACTGTATCTTGGGCGTTAACTCTCACGAGAGGGTGGAGAAACAGGCGGTCATTGTCTCTCTGGAGTTCAAGGGACCCGGGCAGCTGCCCTGGGGATCTACGGTGGTCAATTCGTACCAAGCCATGACCCGGGCTGTCGCTGAGGTGAGTTATTATTTATTCGATGTGTTTGTACTTCTACCGGGATGCGTGGCTAATTCAGTCTACACATTGATAGCGGGTCGAAACTACCTCTTTCCAGACGGTGGAGGCCTTGGCGACGTTTGTCGCGCGCATTGTCACGGTGGAATTCGGGAATGAACGGGTGACGGTGCGGGTTGAAAAGCCCAGTGCGCTGGCATTTGTGGAGGGATCGGGGGTGGAAATCACTCGGTCGCAGGCCTTTTTCGAGGGGAGAGATGCATGAAATGCCTGCAGGGAGTTTGGATGGATCTTAACCTCTAGCACGAAATAATTACTAAATAGTTGGTTCGGCCGGTGGAGTTTATAGCCTGTCGGAAGATCTACTAGTACCCCTGCATAAGTGACTTGAGTAATTCTATAACAAGATCCTGGGACAACACCATTCATCCGTCTCTCTCTCCTCCAGAATACGCGTAGCATAATATTGTAGTATAAATAATCAATGTAAGTACGGAGTTGTATGGCTATAGATCCTCAGGCAGCTTCCCCGGATTGCCCGATTAGGCAATCAGGTGCCATCCTCCAATGACCGCAACACGTGAAGTCATGCTACTCTATCGGGTCTAGCGTCGCTTAGCACCGGCACACGCTGATTGGCCCGCGGGCCGGGAAAAATACACTCAGCGCCGAGGCCGGGCAGCTTTCTTTTCCCGTTTGTCAAAGCAAATCCAAGTCAGCTCTCACTTTCTTCTTCTTCTCCTTCTCCCTCTCTTCTTAAAAAGGGATCTTCACCCGGTTTCTAAACCCTCGCTGTGCCTCTTGTGCCTGCTCCTTGGAGTCTCATTTCCATCCCCTGCTCTCTCGTCCATCCTCGCCTTAGCCGTTCCTCTATGTGCTTGTCTGCGCTGCCCTCGATTTCGTCGTCCGCTTTTATCCGCTGCCCCCGCTCTCGTTTGCTGACTCTCGACTCGAACTTCCCTTCCTCGGCGTCTCTCAACACTCCCTCCTCGACTGGCTTCTCGGCCGTGTCGTCCGTTCGCTCCATCTCCGACGACAAGGTGTTCTGGCTTAGGGTCCATGGTCCGTCCTGAACAAGGGCGGACGGTAAATAGGTGCTATATCCGAGAGATCTTGCAGGCTGCCGCGTAACTTCCCTGCTGGTTTGCTTGGCGCTCTCGGATTGTGTGCTACCAAGTGTACGCTGCTCCGATAGTTCCTTGACCCCCCTTGCATATGGAAAATTAGGGTTTCCTGTGCATACCCCGCGCTTGTGCGTGGGTGTGTGTGTGTGGATATGCGTGTGGGGGCGTGGAAAGAAAAACAAGAAAAAAAAAAAGCTGATCTCTTCCATTGTGTTATTAGATTACTTTGACTAGGCCTCAACTAGAGAAGTGCCTTGATTTGTCGATGCCTGAGTACATTTAATTGCCCTTGGCTTACGCATCGTGCTGTTGCCGTTCTGGTCGGACGGCTGCTAGATCGTGCTTGGTCAATTACGGGGATAGAGAGAAATCCGAGAAGACGTTTACGACACAATGGATACCTCGGCGAATATCGCTGGTCACGATGACATCTCGGTCGGCGACGTGTTCAGTCCGCAAGCCGACATGTCGCATTCACACAAGGATATCAATATGAGCGACGCCCCGGAAACCGGCTTTCGTATGAGCGCCCGCAGCCCCCAGCGCAAGCAAGGACCCATGATCAAGGGGCCTGGAGTTCATGGAGGCAATCCCTTTCCGGCCCCAGAGCTGAACGCACACCCGCTTGCCGCGAAGGCTGACCGCCGCAAGAAGAAGAAAAAGCAGGTGGTTCATGAGGTCGCCCCGGCCCTTTCGACCGTGCGCGGGTTCACTCCCCGTGGATCCGCCGATGAGGACTCGGACCGATCGGCTGCCAGCTCTCGCGCACCGAGCTCGCACCCGCGCACCCGTGCCGGGACTAATGGAGGCAGTCCGTTGGTTCAGCCTGCGGCTGGCTGTGGGGTGAGCGCTCTGAAACTCCAGCTGGATTCGATGAGCCTGTCTGGCAATGGTACCCGAGCCGGCCCCGCTGAGACCCCGAGTAACGCCAGTGTGTGCTCCGACAGTGATCAGACCGAGGTCCTGACTAGTTACGAGGTGCCTCTGGAACATGACTATGTCAGCGCCGACGCGGCCGCCGAGGAAGACTCGCAGAATACGTCAAGCGTGCGGGATATGCGTACTCAGCTGTGCCGAAAGATGACCACCGATGACTTTGAGCCCCTCCTTTGCCTTGGGAAGGGGTCCTTCGGGACTGTATTGCTAGTGCGCCATGTGCTCACGGGAAAGCTGTACGCGCAGAAACAGTTTCGCAAGGCGTCGATTACCGTTCACAAGAAGCTCGTGGAACAAACCAAGACTGAGCGCACGATCCTGGAGAGTGTCAACCGCCACCCATTCGTGGTCAAACTCTTTTACGCGTTCCAGGACCACGAGAAACTGTATCTGATCCTGGAGTATGCGGAGGGTGGCGAGTTGTTCACCCACCTAGCTATGGAGCGTATGTTCGACGAGGATGCGGCTGCATTTTACATGGCGGAAATGGTCCTGGCCCTCGAACATCTCCACCAAACTGTCGGGGTCATCTACCGCGATCTCAAGCCGGAGAATTGCCTGCTGGACAGCGAGGGCCATCTGCTTCTGACGGACTTTGGCCTCAGTAAGATTGCCGTCAACGATGACGACCGCTGCAACTCCTCGCTGGGCACGATTGAGTACATGGCGCCGGAGGTCGTGCAGGGTAAGTCGTACGGCAAAGCCTGTGACTGGTGGTCCCTGGGCGCGCTGGGCTACGACCTGCTCACCGGATCTCCTCCATTCAAAGCCAACAACAACGCCAAGCTGCAAGAGAAGATTGTGAAACAGAAGCTGGCTCTGCCTTATTTCCTGGGTCCCGATGCCAAGGACCTGTTGACTCGGCTGCTCCGCAAGGAGCCGTCGAAGCGGCTGGGATACCACATGCCCAAGGACCTGCAGACGATCAAGACCCACCGCTTCTTCCGGAAGATCGACTGGAAGGCGCTGGAGCGACGGGAGGTGGCGCCTCCTATCAATCCGGTTGTGACGGACCCAGCCCTGGCGGAGAATTTCTCGATGGATTTCACGCAGCTGCCGCTGAGTCCGATCGTGCACGCGTTCGACGACCATTATGCGGCCCGGGCGTCCGGTCCGCCAGCCAGCCACCCCGGGGAGGGCGAGCTGTTCGGCGGATTCAGCTTCGTCGCGTCGAGCAGCTTGCTGGATAATGGAATGATGGTATGATTGGGGTGTAATTGGTGGGTAGAGAGCATACCAATAGAAACTGGCTGGTGGTTTAAGCATTGTGCAAATTCTTCGATGTTATTGTGCGATACTTCAGATGAGCGTTTTCAAGCAATTTTGACACGAATTTCGGGCTTCTAGTGCTTGTACATTTTGCAGACTATGCGCCTGTAGCTCTGGGGTGGGAGAACTGACGGTCGCGGCATCACGCCAGTAGATAGTATACCAGACATACAGCGCAAACAGACCCCTTTAAAGTATGTCAGTGTAGCACACATGAACTTCTCATTGTCCCTCCCCATTGTAACCATCCTGCTATCAAGCTTTAAGGTCTCTCTCTTCACCTAAGTCTGGTATGTCATGTTTACGAAGGGCATCCAGGAAGGTTAGTACATATCCAGACACTAATTGCTACTCTATGGACCTAAAGACACGCGCAACAGTGACAATAGGGGTCCTTCAGAGTGGAGAACTGGGGTAGAGAGCAGCTTCGACCACGAAGCCCACACAGCCCCTTGTCTATACTATTCAGACCGTCTCCAGCAGTTCCAGACTCGCCTCAGATCCGGATCACGTCGAGCTGGTCAGCCCCACAGCTGATTCAGCGTCAATCCATGGGCGTCACGATGAACCAATTTCTGTCGATCCCTCGCTCGGCAATTCCACCATCCCTCTTCTGCTGTCGAGTAGAGAATCTGCAGTGTTGACGAGGAGGAACAGGATGCGAATGGCATCAGCATGAGTCTTGCATGACCCCCTTTCCAGCTCACCTCCGGCCATACCCAAGGCAAAACACCATCCGGACGCCCCGGACCATCCATGGAACGACCTAACGGCCCTGGTCAGATCAACCGATCTATTTAACTCTAATCGCATAATGGCCACTCCTTTTGCGGCACCACACATTTGCCTGCGGGCCTTCAAATGCCAACCGCTTCCCCTCTTGATCGGCGACGGGCTTGTCAACCTCTTCTCTCGTGCATCCATTCCGTCTCCGTCCTTCGTTCCTTATTTGCACCCCTTGCTTCTTTGCTTTCCCTTTCTTGACTCTCTTTTTTAAATCTCCTTTCCTTCTTTCACCAGCCCTCATGCCCACGTGGGCCGTCTAAAGCCAAGCGAAACAGCCCAAGGCCCATCATGGCCGACGAACGAACCACGCAGGAATCCTCCCCGGCTTGGTCGGATTCAGATAGTGCTGCTCCCGTTATCGCTGCGAAGAAACGCCGGTTACCCCCGTTTCTGGACCATTTCAATGGTCGCGATCTCAAGATCTTCTTTCGATGCTGGGTCGCCGTCTGGGTGGCTTGTTTGTTGATCTTCATTCTTCCCTCGCTGGAAAGCATCGGCACTGCAACCTTTTTTGCAGCGTATGCATCTGTCCTAATGCACGAGTCGCGTTGATATATGCTGAATTCGAAATAGTCTCGTATTATTGTTTTTACCTCCATCCGGCATCGTCTTTGTCTATCTCCTGGGTGCGCTGTCCTTGTTCATCGGTATCTGTCTGGCTTGGGCATGGGGCGTCATCACCATGAAGGCTGCTCAGGCAGCTAGACCAGCGGCCGATACGCAGGCTAAAATGGCCGCCCTGCAGCAGACGGCTGTGTCACAGGCCCAGAATTCGACATATTCTGCTACTGAAATAGCGCAGCGATTGGTTTACGAAGGGTACATGCTGGATGCGCGCGTCACTGCCGTGACATTTTGCCTTATCTGCACTTTTGTTTATTTCATGGTAAGTAATTCTCCGGCTAATGGAAATGAACTATACTGAACTTACAGGCGCGCCTTCGGGCCAGCAATCCCAAAGCAGCTTTGACAGCCATATTTGGCATTATCATCTCGGATCTATTTCTGAACTATACCCCACTTCTACCCTCTTTCTCAGGAACCTTACCTTTGACTCTGGTCAAACCTGCCGCCATTGGGGTCGGACTCGGCCTAGCATGCTCAATCCTCTTCTTTCCTCAGTCAACATCGCATGTGGTTTTGGATAGTATGGAAGATATCGTTCGACTCCTCCAAGTTCCCCTGGCGATGACAGCAAATACACTCTGCAAGAAGGACGAGCAACCGAATCCCGACGATTTGCGCATGACGCAAGCTGGGATCATCCAGAAATATAAAAGCATGGAGCCATCATTGGCATTTCTGCCTCTGGACTTTTCTGTAGGCTGTTGGGGGGCGGAAGATGTCGCCTCCTTCCAGGGCCCTTTGCGAGACATACTTGTTGCGATCTTATCCCTTCTTGACTTTCACATTGGCCGGATCGTGGGAGAGGCTCGCACACAGGATGTTCTGCGTAAGTATGTTGATAAGACCCCGGACGGGGATGAGAAACCTACGCGCGAGGTTGGCGCGCATCAGCTCACGCAGCTCGCACAATTGCTGGATGGATTCCGCAGCCCGGACAGCCACCCGCTGCGCAAGGAGGTCATTCAAGAGCTGGTCAAGACGAGCACGACGGCAATCGATGCCTGTGCGGAAGGGCTGAGCGTTGTGCAAGAGTGTATTCACCTGGTGAATTGTCGACGCTGGTTTCGACGGCCATCCCAGGCTGAACGCGAGCAGCTACAGCAACGCTGTGAAAAGGCACTTGAGAATTTAGCAAAGGCCCGCTCGGTCTTTATCAATGAAATGAGCGATATTCTGATCGGACAGCACGACCAACGGACACTTGACGGACCCCAGCACTTCCGGCCACTCATGTTTGTCCTAGTCTTTGAGGAGCATATTTCCAACACCGTGCAGAAGACCGAGGCCCTGCTCGCGCGGGTCTCTACGGTCTTCCAAGAATCAACTAAAATTCGTATTTACCTGCCAACACGGTTCAGATACGCCGCATCATGGGCCTCCTCCAACCAGGTCAAGGCACCGGGGTCCCAGGGTACCGAAGACGATCCGGATCGCGTCAGCGCCGACGATGCTACCAAAGCAGCCCAAGAGAAGTTGCGTGCTACCCGCGGATTCCGCACGAAGCCACGCCCTCCTCTCAGTCGAGCTGTCCTGGGAACCTACCACTGGTTTACCTGCGACGAAGGTCTGTATGCCATGCGTATGGTCGTCGTCACGATCGCCCTGGGCATTCCGGGCGTGATTCCTCACAGTGCAGGCTTTTACTACCGCGCGAAAGGACTTTGGGCGTTGATCATGGGACAGACGGGTCTGCTCGTATACATGGCAGACTTTACGTTCTCAGTGATCGCAAGAGTGATTGGAACCGTCATCGGCGGAGTTCTGGGACTGCTGGCATGGTACATCGGCTCCGCAAATGGCCCGGGCAATCCGTATGGGCTGTCTGCCATCACCGCCGCAATCCTAGTAATCCTTGTCTGGACCAGACTGTACCTACCGCCGGCCTTGATGCAGGGAGGCATCATCGGCGGAGCCACATTCCTGCTAGTCATCGCATATAGCTACGATGACACGTAAGTGTTCCCCCTCAACCCTACCAAATCACCCACTAATAACCTTCCAGCCATATCCCCCAATACGGCAACCCAGGAGTCGGCTACAACGTCTTCTGGAGACGCTTACTCCTCGTCCTCGTCGGCGTCGCCGCATCCGCCATCCTCCAAACCCTACCCCGCCCTCCATCCGCCTCCCGGCACGTCTGCAAGACGCTCTCCCGCGCCATGCGCACCCTATCTACGCACTATGCCCTCCTTCTCACCGTCTGGGCCCAAAACTCCACCGAGGGCAAAAGGCTCGCCGAACCCCTCTCCCTCCAACTGGCCGAAACCCTCGTTTCGCTCGACGGACCCATCAAACTCCTCGGCTTCGAATTCTCCAGCTCGCGCTTCGACAGCGCCTCCCTAGCCAAAGTGAACTCCCTCTGCCGCAGCCTCAACCGCCAGCTTGGCCGCCTCCTACTCCTCTCTTCATCCCTGCCCCAGGAGTTCCAAGAGCAATTAGCTCGTCAGACGGGGCTCCTGGATCACCGGCTCATCGGCCAGGTCATGGCGGTGATGGGTCTCTGCGAACAGGCCCTGAAAACGGGCGATGCGTTACCGGAGATTCTGCCCACGCCGCTGTTCAAGCAGGCGGTGGATAATTGGTCGAGGGGGCGTCGTGGTCAGGAAGAGCAGGTTATTTCGGCTGAAATGATGCGCGATGAAGGGTATAGACGGTTCTGTGTGGCGGCGAGTGCATACTTTGGGTTTTTGATCACCGTAGATGAGATGGTGTTGGTGGTGAAGGGAGTGTTGGGGGAGGCGCATTTGGTGGGCGGTGGTGGTGATAGAGAGGGAAGGTGGTTGTTGGGGGATGATGTAGAGGTGTGAATATAGTACCTTTAGATAAACTCGAATTGGTGAGTTATATAGTGTTATAGAAAGTATCGAAGTATATACAATACAAGCCATAGAGATAATGAGAGTAATAAGTAGTAAGTAGTAAATAGTACAGTTAAGCTGAACTACTAAAGCCACACATACAAGCAGACCAATCCCCGTAGACTAAACTAAACTAACCTAGACTACTACTGAAATAGTAGTTAGTAAGTGAATAAATAGCTAGCTAGCTGACCAAAATAGCCTAAGATGGTTTGAAAATTAGAGTTAAAGTGAAAGATCAAGTAAGGGCTTGATATCTATTTAACTCAACTTAAGTTTTAGTTTCGCTCAAGTTTAAGTTAAACTTTAGATAACTATAAGCTTGGTATCTCAACTGTAAATCGCACGGATATTTTAATTTCACATGTTGTTTACTTTGGGTTGAATGGATGTATGGATAGATGGAAAGATAATTAAATTTACCCCGGGGTTTCACTTTGCTTTACTAGTAGTTGAAATCACTAGATGTGATCGCTGATGTCTTGATGAAGGGGGAACTAAATGGTTGATAGTTTGAGAAGGTTAGCTTAAATACTCTAGGATAAAGGGAACAGTATAGATGCAATTGAGAGTCTGCATTTCGATTCAAATTAATCTATTCTGATAAACATCATAATTATAAGGTATCCACAAGGAACCAACCCAATCCGTATGCAATCGATTCCGTCCTACCCCCATTCCATTCCATCCGTAACGCCATATTTAGTACGATTGCCGAACCATATAACTACCTGACGAGCTATTTAAATGCTATGTTTCTTCATACGTCGGAGGTTCAACTGGGATGCTGTGCCCCGGCACATACGGTAATTCGGTAGCAGCCGTGTATATCGGCACTAGGGGGGTGGGTGTTGGCTCTGTAGTCTCTGCCACCCCCGCGGCGGCCACTGGTTGCAGGGAGGAGGTAGATGATTGTCGCTCCGCCGGCCTGACAGGCAAAGGAAGGCCATCCCACCCGGCTGGCACACTTTGCAGCTCCGTTTTGTATTTGGATAACCGGTGGAAGCGGTTTTGTACATTTCGCCACCGCCAGTCCGTCAGTAGTGTGTCGTCCGTGAAGAGCGTGTCTAGCTTCGTCGCTTGCTCGAGTAGTCGGGCTAGCCCCTGTAGGATTTCCGGCTCCCAGCATTGAAGTTGTTTGGGTGATATGAGGAAGATTGCGTCAATGGCGCTACCGCAGGCGGCCAGACCAGCCATGTAGGAGCGGATGCACGACTGAATGCTCGACTGGGGGAGCGCATGAGTAGTAGAGATGTGGACGAGGACGGTGAAGCTGCGCGCAAAGAAGGCAAGACAGTCGGCTAGGTTCTGGACGAGATCGGCTGTGATGGCGATGGTCTCCATGCGCGGGAACAGGAGATGGATGAGCAAGGTGCGGTACGCGGTGAGAATCCACGTCTGGGCAACCTGGTCTTCCATGTTGGCTTCGATGATCTGCACGTTGCGCGACAAGACAGCGCGGGCCTCGCTACACAGGTTGCCAATGTCGACCTTGTAGAGTTGGATGTTGCGCAATTGCTCGTGCAGCTGACTCTGCCAGGAGTGGTGAGGATGGGCTATGGGAGATGTGGGCCCGCTGGCCTGACGAGGGTAGATCGAGTTGAGGTGAACAGCCGCGGAGGTGATGTGGCTGATGGTCCAAATTTCCTGGATCCATGCCCACTGGTGTGAGAGCGTGGACAAGTTATCGGCCGCCTTGTCGAGCCGTAGCACCAAGGAGGCATCCTTGTTCATGGGCGGGTGCTCATACATCATCGCGAGCGCTGGCAGACTGTCATCCACAATCCCCAAGTGTGTAAAATACCAGACCATCAGCGCGAGAGTCATCCAACCCAGGATGTGCATCATCTCCAACTCAATCTGCACTAGGTCGACCCCGTTGATCTGTCGGACATCGCGTGAGGACCGGGTCAAGGTGTCCATGATGAGGCGGGTTACGGTACGATTCGCGTAGATGCTGTAGGTCATTGCTTTGATAATGTTTCCCTGACATGTCTCATGCCAGGCCAGCAAGCTGAGCGCCTGTGCAGTTGACAGGTCGGCTGCCGCCGTGGAAATATACTGTAGGCGTGACGACGCCCAGTGCAGGAGCTGCTCGGATTCCACCTGGGTGTCCGTATCCCCCAGTTCCAGCAGACCGCCCCCTAGCACGACAGCCAGGAGCAGGGGGTCGTAGGAGTTGCTGCGGACGTCACGTAGCAGCAGCGTCTTTGAAAGGGCCATGGACAACGGGTGCGCACCAAACCACACATCTAAGAGCTGGGTGATGCGGTAGCCGTTGTATGCCGCCAGCGGCGCCGGCTCGAGGGCGGGGGACGGTTCGGGAGGACTGCTGGACGCCAGGCTGGCTCGGAAGAATTGACTTTGATTAGCGAAGAAAGCAAGGCAATCGAGTCCGCTGAAACGGGCCACTGTGGCGTCGATGATATCCTGGGTCAGCACCAGGATAAGCTCGCGACAGCCCAGTTTAGCCGGCCGCTGGCGAGGAGAACCGGCCTGGCTCCATGGCATCCCATCGACCCTTGGACCCTGTAGCTTCTCCTGAATCTCGGCCGTCACCTCGGATAGAGCATCGGCAACACTCTTAAGACGCGGCGAAAAGAGCTGGCCGGCCGCGGAGGACGACGGACTCGAGGGGGATGTCCAGGGAGCCTGTTTCATGTCGGGCTCGGGCGCCGGCTGGCCAGCAACCAGACGGCCGGTGGTGCGCGCGCCAGAGACCCGGGGACGACCTTTGGGGCCGCCCTGATCATAGACACATTCGATCTGGCGGTCCTTGCAGGCGCTGCAGACGCTGGCGCCTGAGCAGCGGAGCTTGCGACTGCGGCAAAAGCGACAGCTGCGTCGCCGGTCCGTCGTCGCGGGAGCCGGGTGCATTTTGGCTTCAACGGGGGAGCGATGTGGCCATAACAGGGTGCCCATTGGCTGGTTCGACTGACAATGAAGGACGGGCCGCTCGAAAGTTTGTCGTCCGCCCGAAGGAAGAGACGATAGCAAGCGGGTTTTGTTGGCTGGGTGGCCAACCCGACATTCTCTCCATGAGCTTTGATTCCCAAGACGCAGGGCGGGTCGTGATGTCAAGCATTCCCAGCAGCGCATCAGAGAGTCCAGTGGGCGCTGCTGAGCTTCAGCCAGCCACAGCGGACAAAGAATCCGGCTGGTATGTTCTCCTGCCAAATGCCAAAAGTGCACTTGCAGTGTTGCTTGACTCGCCTTGGGTTGTCGGAGCCATCCCATTGGGACCTTGACAGCCAGTTCAGCTGCAAGGGGGTTGTTGCGCAACCATGGTTGCTTCCCTGTCATAGGCCAGCCCCGGTGATGTTCAGTCCTGCAGCCCCTGCGGAGATGGAAATTGTGATCAAGGGCTTCTGTCCATGATGATCGCTCTAAATTCGACAGTAGAAGATATAGATTAACTACAGATCTGGCGTGTTTCTTCGGGGCTCAATTCTTCCTCCTTATAATTCCCCATCTGTGCCATTGTTTCATTTCATCACCGTCCACTAGTCTCTCTCCGTGTGCTTGTCTCCGTGTGTCTCTCACACTCTGTGGGGGTGCGTGCCCTTGCAGATTCGCTCGGCTTCCCAGACCCCATCGGAGGGTAATGAGGAATGTGTCGGGTGGACCTTCCGACGCCTTCGGCCGAACTAGTTATGTATGTAGGTGTCAGGTCCATCATTCATGAATGGACTCGTTCGTCTCCCCATTCAAAGGTGAAACCCTCATAGCTCGCCCTCCTCGCTGCCACCTCCCTCGTCCTCCGGTTCCGGGGCCTGAGGCGGCTCAGGCTGCGACGGCGGACGGGGTTCCTCTTCTGGGGGTGGCGGCGGCGGGAGATGCTGAGGTGGTGGATGTGGATGCGCATCCTCCTGCGACGGTGGCTGGCCTCCTGTGGACATGGACGGTCGTCGTCGCTGCCCTGAGTCAGCCTCGGCCTCCCAATCGCCCCGATGCCGTTCCTGAGGCCGTCGCTCCACCCTGCCGGGCCCACCACTCTGAGAGGGCATGTTCTGTTGCACAATCTCGTCGATCCGTTGCTGAATCGGATCGACAGGCAGCCCCGGAGGCCCGCCCCCGGACCGACTGCTGCTGTCCCGTCGAGGGTAAGGCCGGGGAGGCGGTGGTAAGGGATGTGGATGTCTAGTCGCAGAGTACGGGTGCGAATGAGGTGCCGGGGGAGCGTGTCCGTTCGCAGAAGGGCGGTCGTGGGAAAAGGCCGGTCCGCCGCTGGGGAGAGGCGCCTTGGGAATACGCGACGACGGGACTCGGTCAGTCGATGCTCCTAATGAGTCCCTCCGGGGTCGTTTTGGGGATGGAGCCCCGTTCTGCGTCGCTGGCCCTGCCTCTGACGGGGGCATCGAGTCGGCCAAAGGGCGTGGAGGCTTCGTCTCATCGTCGGGGTCCCGCGAGCGCTTCCGACCGTTGACGGCGTCCGCCTCACGCCCGGAATCGATCGGACGCATCGTGTTGTCCGCCGGGCCATCCACGCGCGGGATCCTGGTCTTCTCAGTACCCTCGTCTGTGCTGATGGGGTTGGTCAAGTAGTACAGGCCGTTTCGATGCGCGGCGTTGTTCTCATACAGCTTTGCCATGCGCATACACGCGCGACGCACCTGGGTCAAGTCCACATCAAGCTGTTCCCACCACGGCCGGCCCAGCACATCGTCTTCAAACCCAATGTCACAGTGCTGGGCCGCCGCGTATAGTGCGGCGGCCGCAATGATGCGGGCGGTAAACTGCAGGCATAGCACCGTGTATCCGGAGTCGTTGACGAAGGCCCATGCGACGTTACGGAGCGGCTTGTTGTCTTGCATGCGAAAGAAGCAGATGAAGTCATAGAGGATGCGATACGGTTGCTCAAGCTGTAGATCGAAACACAGCGCTTCCAATAGAACGTCTTCGTGCACCAGAATGGTATCGCGCCAGCGCCAAAATTCCTTAGACTGTTCATCCACCACCATGTTTGGCTGCTTCTGTCCCACCCGGCAGCATGCTACCACCAACTCTTTCATCCGCCGTACATTCTCCTCCACCTTTGTAGCCAGGAACAGAGCCGCCGCGGCTGTCGTGTAGGGATGAATGCCCGGTCGTTGCGGCAAGTCGACCATACTGTGTCGCATATAGAACCGGTGCAAATAAACGGCGGCCGTCGCGAGCGTAAGTTGCGGTAGCTTCAGCATGATTCCTACCTGGTTTATAAAATTGACACCTTTGCTGCGGCTCATATGCTCGGCCTCCAAAGCCATGCCATCTAGCTGCGATGGCGTTCGCGTAAGCTCCTCATCGGTAAATATCCAATGCGCCTGGGTTGCAAGAAGGACGGGATTCGACGGGGCAGGGACCGGCGGGAGTTCGGAAGGATGGTGGGCTGCTGAAGACGCCATCGGGGACAGCGGAAACGGATGCGATGAAGTTGTAGGCGTGGGTCTCGAGGGGCGAGCTGTAGACAGACTCTACCTTCCCCAGCAAACCTGGAAGAAAGCAAAGCTACCAGTGAGAACAGAGGAAGGCTTGGGAAGCTCGCGTCGACCCGGGGGCGAGGCGAAAGAGACAACAGAGGGATCCACTCAGACGAACTGATCGCGCACGAAGGGGCCAGCCGGAACCAGCGTAGTGAAACAGCCCTCCTGCTAGTCTGTAGTTTGTCCTACTTTAGTTCCGATCACCCAGAGTCCTGAGATTACCGAGACGTGTTAATCATCGCGGGAGAGGCCACTGCATCGCATGCATCGGAAGCCGGTGATTCGGGAAGCCAATCGCACCCACAGGATGTCCGGACAAGGTGAGATGGAGGATTGAGGAGTCACAGTTGTCAGAGGAGATGGTGGAGAAGAGCAGAAGATCCAGAATGGGGCGAGAGGAGAGCGATGGGAGGCTGCTAGTTCCGAGTGCAACAGAGAGGGAACAAAAGGAAGAGAGAGAGAGCAAGAGACTCCTTTCTCACTAAGTTGGGACTTTCCTTTTCCTTTTGCTGTGGCACTTTTTGGCGACTGACCGCCCAGCCAATGACCGCCGGCTTTTCGGATCATCCCGTTGTTCCGGGCCCCAGGGATCGTCGCTTGCTTTTCGGAAAGATTCACATCTATATCTTCGGCGTGTTATAATGATTATGATGGTTACTGGAAGTGTGTCATTGTCCTTGTTATTGCTGGTTTCATATAATACGATGAACATTCCTGAGTTCTGATCCTTTCCCGTGGTTTAAAACTCCAAATGGCGCCTTGCTTTGCTGGTATATACGCGGACACGGGGGAACCTTGCCCCCAAAGAGAAATACAAGAGATATTAGCAAACATGCTACACGGTAGAACACCCCATCCCCCTATTCCTCCTCACTGACTTCACTCTCGTCCTCACTGGCCATATGATACTGCTGCGACACCGCTTGCGTTGGAACTGGCTGGCTCCGGTCGTCTTCCTGTACATCCTCCTCAAACGCCGCCTCCATCTCCGCCGCGAGGGGATCATCATCAACCTCCAAATCTTCCTCATCCACCCCGGGCTCCAGGTTTATGCCGCTCGAAGCCATTGGCGCTCCTCCGTGGCCAGCCGGAGAGGGGAGCCGTAGGTCCTCAATATCCTCATCGTCCTCCTGCTCCTCGTCCTCATCCCGATTTCCTTCCTCATCCGCCGGGGTGTGGTTCGAAGAGAAGTATGCAGGATTGACCCGGAAGGGACGAGCAGGCGGTGGAGATCCCATATCGATGATTAGATCGCCGTCGATGATGATATTCGAGCCCGGTGATGGAACCGCCTTTTGAGAGGAGACAGCCCCCAGGCCCGTGTCGGACGGCGAGGAATTGAATGTCTCCACCGGAGGCTCCTCTTCGACCTCTGCCTTCCGCTCCTCTCTTGGTTGCACAGGACGGGGCGGAGACCTGGGCCGTGGCCGAGCAGCCGCCGGTTTTGGAGGCTTGACCCCGTCTGGCTTCTTCTTCTTCGGGTGGACAGGCTTTGTCCGGCTCTCCGGGGGTGGTCGAGGACTAGGAATAGGTCTGGTAGCGGACATCAACGGAGTATCGAGCTTGCTGGTGTAGGACGGGGGTTCCGGTGTCTTATCCGAGCCCGACTTGTCATCGTCCGCATTCTCCTTGGGGAGGAAGTGGCGGTAGTCATAGGGATTGCTGTCGTCAGCAGGGCCATCATCGTTACCGCTGGCATTGTCCGAGCCCCGATCATCACCTGATCCATGGTCCTCTTCCTGCAAAGTGCGTAACTGTTCGTATTGCTCTAGTACCTGCTTCTGGGATTTGGCCGGAGCAGACCGGAGGTTGAAGTTCAGCTGCGTTGAAACCGGCTCCAAGACAAACACTTTCCGCGCCGCGTCAAAGACTAGCACCAAGTTATGTTCCCCGACATCCGAGACAGATTGTGTTGGGTCCACACTGCCTTGGTATGAATAGGTCAGGACATTATCGGCGTTGGGCGCTTTGTCGGTAATTGTGAGGTTGTAACGATCGCGGGACTGTCGGGTTCGGGTAATGCGTTGCCGTGCGGTCGCTGACTTGGTCTTGTAGTTATATTGGATATTGACCAGCTGCGACTGTGGCGAGCTGGATTTCCCACTGAGTCGGTCGCCCAGCACGATGGGATACTCGGCCTGTTTGGTCGGGTCGATCAAACCGCCGGTCGACAAAGCGGGGGCCGCCATCCAGACGAGGTGCAGGATCAGGGCTCAAAAGAGACAGAGGAATATCGCAGGGAAACGGTCGCTATTCTTTAGATAGCTTCGGTGCACGCCTTCAGGAAGAAAACTTCATTGCTGGGGGGAGTGTGGTGTCTAAAACGCCAGCAGGCCCTGTACGCAAGGGAGAACGTCACACAGCAGTAGCAGCGGCGGCGGCAATCGAAGGGGCCAATGCGACCGGCAAGCCAGCACCGGTCATGAAGCAACGGCTGTGTCAAAGCAACTATTGAAGCCAGAGATGTATATATAAGAGGACAGTCTGTATAACGTCCCCAGGAAAAAATACAGAGGAAAAGGGGGAAATGTAGAAAAAGGATGTTGCCGAGAGGAAGTCTTGAGGGAGAAGGAGAGGTGAGTGAGGAGGGAGGATGAGATGACGGCCGGACCAGCAACCCGGGCGGAGGCCTTGCTCCATTCGGTTAGTGCCGCCCGGGGAGGCCCGAACTTCCCCTTTTGAAAGGAACAAGCAAAAGCAATGCCGTCTCCAAGAATAGCACTTTGCACAGCCAGTGGGAGAAGTGATGAATGATTCTTTTAGGACATCTACCACTCAAATGTCTCCTTGCATGGGCAAGGCTTGCCGCGACGAATGTCCTTTGGTTGAGGACCCGGGAGTTGTACCTCCTGTCAGCTGCTCCAGGCGTCCTGCCAAGGCTCTGTGTTTCCGAGTCACCTCCTCCCATTCATAGGCCAAGTCATCGGCATCGGCATCGCTTTCCTCTTGTTCTTCATCCGCTGCCTCGCTGAGCTCGGTCAGAATCATGCCAAAGTCCCCTCCCAGTCGACCCAAGCTGGCAGCGCAGTACAGCACCTGGGTCAAGAGACTCTCACGGGAGCTTTTATCCCGGACGTTGGGGAGATAGGTGCGCAAGGTGTCCGTCAGCAGTTGTACTAGGTGCATAGGAAAGGTAGCAAGTGCCGGTGGAAGGCACTGGAGTGGATCCTCTGGGCGAGAGGGTCGCGATGCCGCAGCTTTGATCCGCGCATCAATGCTCCGTAAGCCGGTCACAGCGAGCTCTGACTCCGACTGATCCGGAGTAAAAATGTTTTTATAGAGAGAGACGATCGCAAAGCTCTGCTCGCGAAAGATCTCGATATACCGTTTCAGATACTTTTCGGTCTGGTGTCCTTCGGACCAGGTCCCCGTCGTCCCGTTCTTCCTGTCCGTGCTCGGGGCCCTGCGCTGTGTCTCCTGATCAGCCAACTCCCGTAAAGGATCAAGAGCTTCTAGCATCGTGATCAAGTTCGCGAGCCTGCAGATCAGAAATATAGCTCCCAATGCACCCTCCCCCGCGGCCGGTGATCCTTCGTGGTGGAGATTGTCCAATTCTGGTGCCACCCTGCGCAGCCAACCCACCGTCCTCATAGCAGCTGCTAGTCGCAAGTTCTGTGCCCGAAGACCTGCGATCAGATTCGACGTCATGTCCTTCATAGCATCTTCGGCCTGGGAGACCACGTCTTTGATGAGCGGCGAATCGGGATAGAGTGTCTGTAATCGCTTGATATGCGCGTACAGATCCAATGCTGTAGAGTACGTCGTGGATACCGAGCTGCCTGTCGTTGTAGAACTGGCGGCCGCGGAAGAGACGGCTGTTGCGAGCAGCGTGGGGAGCTCAAGGATATCGGACAGCCGATCGACGTTCCGGGCCAGCTGCATCACCTTCTTCCGTTGCTCCAGAGCGACATTCTCGGCTGCTCGGCTGTATTTGGACGAGAACCGGACTGCCTCTTCGTCGAGTTTTGGGACCGCATCTCGCAGTTGCTGTGCATTCTGGGCCAATTGGGGGATGGACGCGCGGAGATTGGACAGGCCATCGGCGGACGTGACAAAGGCCTTGTAAGAGCGATTCGACAGAGCTTGCAGCGACAGAAGGGTGGAATGAGAGGACTGAGTTAGGGATTGAGGTTCCGTGGACTGTAATGCTTGGAGGGAGAGCGTAGGGAGACGGTTGAGGTATTGAGCAGTGGTGGTATCGCGGTCGGGATCGCAGAGGGCGGCGGCGGCCTTTGTCGAGGCCAGATGAGGGGCTAGAAGATCGTAAAGATAATCGGCCATCGTGAGGGTCGGCTTCTTCGTTGCTGAGAGCCGAAATGGTCGACAATGGAGGGTAATGGAAGCGTGGAAGCGGCCGATGATGAGCAGGAGGGCGAAACAAGGCCAGATTTAGTAGTGCCGAACTACTACTACTGCTCTCCGTACGGCGGCCTCGGCGACAACTGGCGAAGGGTCATTCCTCTCTTCCCATCTGAGAAGCTAGGTGCTAAATGCTGCATTGCTGGGGCAAATGAATAGGGTACATCTTTGAAAGAACTATATCAGTCTCTTTAGTAGTCAAATACAGGCTAATCATGGTTCCAAAGGAACGGAAATTCTTGAATTATTCATAACTGATTGAGGGAGAGATGCTATGGAAGGATGTACCCTTTTGATTACAGGCCGGTAATCATGATGGTAATACTCAATACAAAACGGTAATAAACCCGTCCAACGCCGACTGACATCATGCGCTGCGCTAACCCAATCAGGATATTTCTAGGTGCCTGGGGCCAATAGCAGTGCTGGATTTGGCAATTCTCCCCTCTCCGCAATTCATCTCTCCTCTCTCTCTCCTCCTTTCAAGTCCCAAGTCAGTCACTCTCCTCATCCTTCTTTCTCTTCTTCTTCTCTTCGCGGTCGCTTTTTCTGTCCCGTTTCTACATCCAGCTGACCTGTGTGTTTTGTCCTTCAGTGACCTGTTCGCTAGTCTACATACATACTTCAGGTCGTTATCGCGGTGGGCCTGTCTTACTGATCTAGCATCGTAGCGCTTGCTTTTTCCCCTCAACCCCACTTCCACCCAACTACTTCTGCATGCAACAGTAGGTATCTAATAAGTAATCATGGGCAAGCCGCGGGTTAGTTACTCCCCTTCCTGAAAATATCACAGTTTTCGGTCCAATGTCTCACTCTGTCAGATGATCATCTTGATCCGCCATGCCCAATCAGAAGGAAACAAGAACCGAGAAATCCATCAGACTATCCCCGATCACCGAGTGAAACTCACCCCCGAAGGACACCGTCAGGCGCAGGAAGCTGGCTCCCGTCTGCGTACACTCCTCCGACCAGATGATACCATTCATTTCTTCACCTCCCCGTACCGTCGCACCCGAGAGACCACAGAGGGTATTCTGCAGTCCCTGTCCTTAGATTCACCGGCCCCGTCCCCTTTCCCAAGACACACCATCAAGGTCTACGAAGAACCACGGCTGCGGGAGCAAGATTTTGGGAACTTCCAGCCATGTTCAGCCGAGATGGAGCGTATGTGGCTCGAAAGGGCAGACTATGGTCACTTCTTCTACCGAATCCCCAACGGTGAATCTGCTGCGGACGCCTACGACCGCGTCAGTGGGTTCAACGAGTCGCTGTGGCGTTTGTTTGGAGAGGACGACTTCGCCAGTGTCTGCGTGCTCGTCACGCATGGCTTGATGACTCGTGTCTTCCTCATGAAGTGGTATCATTGGAGTGTGGAATACTTCGAAGATCTCCGCAACATCAACCACTGCGAGTTCGTCATCCTGAAACTCAACCCAGACAACGGGAAATACGTTCTCCAGAACCAACTACGTACATGGTCTGATCTGCGGAGGGAGAAAGAAGAAGAGCGGCAGCGTGAGCGGGCAGCCAAGGGTTTGGATCCGGTGCAGCCAGCACCAGCAGAGACGTCCGTCCCTATCCGTCGCAAATGGGGTGGCTGTCCTGATGGATGTAATCACGGGGTCCGAAGACGAAGCTCTCTACGTGTACCCCGTGGACACAACACAGATCATCCAAAGCATCAGCATGATCCTCAGTCGAAGGAGACAACAACACACAGCGCCACTCACAACCACAGATCTCACGGAAACCAAAACGGCCACCCAAGACCAGTCCCGGCTGTAACGGGGACAAGTACTCCGGTTGACCAGCACATGCTCAGAGCCCCGGAGCCAGCTTTGGGAGATCGTTCCATCGACGCAAGGCCTCTTGGAAGGACCTTGCCTTCCCCGGCTCAGCAGTACGAGTTCGAAGGTGTTCAGCTAGAAACCACGTCCACCTCTCAAGCAACTTTCCCAACACCCAACGCTTCCACTAGCACTATCAGTCACCTGGGCCAACCCATTCCGAACCCAAACCCGATACCCCGCCGCCCTGGCCTCGCCCACCTTCACCGTGACAGCGAGGACCACCTCCTCCATCCCCCAAACTGCAACTATGCTTACATCCACCTCGTCGGCCGTGACGGCGGCGGTTCCATGAGCGGCGCAAATAGCCTAGCCCCGTCGGAGGACGAGCGCGACGAGAAGCTCCGCCCCAACATGCACGCTTATACCCACAGTCATAGACAAACTCACTCTCGCCCCAAACCGACTTCCTCTACCCATCAGATTAGACCATCTCAAGACCTAGATAACGACGGCGATGACGAAAGCAGTTCCAAGCAGGCTGCGCGACCACGACGTACCCGATCCCACAGCCATCATGCCCGGAACCCTCCGGGCCTGGCACACCAAACCCTTAGCAAGCAAGTCGCCAACGCCCTCAGCCAGGATCGAGCAGGCCAAGACAGATCAGATGATGAGCCTCTCCCCACAGCTCCTCCGAGTTCGAAGGCCGAGAACCAGCCAGTGGACGCACACAACCGTGAAGACGATCAATACGATGATCATGAACACTATCATCACCACGGCGACGACGAAGAGGACGACTACAACGAAGAAGACGCCTCTTTCGAAGCTGAAAGGAAACACGACCAAGGCATCAGAGGTAGTGTATACTAGTACAGAACTACGGCAACCTCATACTTCATACCCATATACAAAGCATACAAGACAATTAATCAACCTCACATTCTCACATCATCCCCGTACAAAGAACCACTCTTACTCCTACAACGTACATATCACCTTCTAACCCCAAACTTCTTCATATAATCATGATCTCCGTCATCGATTTTCGTCTACCTCAGCGCCTCGGGTTCACTCCCTCATGATGTACATACATCACACATCAGATATGCACCCTTCCATTCATCATCATCAATGCAAATGAATCAAATAAACCGCACATCCCTAGATACCCCAGGCAATGAAATAAATTTATTTACCACGATATGTACAATCTATTCCAGAGCCCCTCCTTATTTCATTTTACTTATTTTCCTCGCATTAGATTCACAAGATTCTGTTCAGATCTGTACTTCTTATATTCCAATTGTATTTAGGTACCTAGTTTAACTTTTACTACTACTACTACTACCTACAAGGAACGAAGACTAAACGTGAATATTTTTTATTATTTCATATGGGTATCATTGTATGTTTTTGTTTTGTGTGCTTCGTTGTGAAAGAAAATCATTGACAGGCTCTTGTTTCCGTTCCTTAAAGAGGTTCAAAAATGGTCAGTGATGGTGACTAATTACCTCAAGGATCAATGCATATACAACTTCCTTCACGTGGATCAAAGATGGGAAAAAAAAAAAAAAAAAAAAAAAAAAAAAAAAAAAAAAAAGAGAGAGAGAGAGAGAGAGAGAGAATCCAAGACAGTTTTTACATATACACAGTTACTTGAGATGGAATGGAGAGCAGTATATATCAAATGGGATCCCTGGTTTTTTTTTAGGGAAGCACGAAATGTCTTTGTCCCATATTTCTTGTGAATGGTTATGGAAAAGTAGTGAAAGAATCTAACTTACATTCAGGGAATGAGCAGTGAGAAAGAATAAAAAGGAAGCCACACAAGAGGGTGTTATATCACCGGGAGGGGAATAAGACAAGACAAAAGAGTAAATGTAAAACAAGGGGCATAAGGGGAGTATCACTTTTCAAATGCCTCACCAATGGTTTGAGGGTCGGGCGGAATAAACAAACATGCAAGATGAAAAGGTCATCGAAGGTAAAACGAACAAATAAAGGTAATGTTACAACCGAGAGCGCACATCCACACACGAAGCTGCAGTAATGTACTCTGGTCGCATCACGAAGGAAGAGTAAAAGAGGATCTGTCGACCGGAACAGATGAGTATGAAAAAAAAGAAAGAAAGAAACAGATTAAAGGCAGCCGAACAAAAAAAAACAAGGTATTAACGCCACGGGACTCAAGTGGAGTGTGCGTGAGAAGAAAGCCAAATGTACCAACTTGACAAACGTCAAGGAACACAACACAATCTATGAGTAACAGTCGCCAGATGAAATGCCCAAATCCGGTGAAAATGAGGAAAGATCGAACAGGTCAAAGAGGGAGGTTGGAGAAGGCAACGGCGAAGCACAGGCGAAAACGCAGAGAGAAACAATCGTAATTGTCGTGACATCTGACTCCAGAGCTTCAGCGCAAGGAATCTCTTGAGGGTAACTTTTCGACACGATGAGAGGAGTGTTTCGTAAGAAACAGATCGTATCGAGATAGGAAAGAGAAAGGCAAAGGCAAAGAAAAGAATCAAGGAAGATAGTGTCACATCGTGCAGAAATGCGCAACCGGTCGGACACTTTTTTTGGGAATTTTTGCTTTTCAGAAAGCATGGAAGGCAAGAATAATCGGAGGAAAAAAGGCGACCGATGGTACTTTTCAGCGAAACACAGACGTAACCGAAACTGACCAAAGAAAACGGGTAGTCATGCAGAACACGAAGGAAACACGGTATCATCAGTAACGAAAAGAGACAAACAAGGACAACCTGGACAGGTCTAGAACGAAGTGAAGAACAGTATCGAACGAAACACGTTTCTCCAGTAGACTCAGGCAGAGAGATGGTTAGATGGCCGCAGCCCCTGACTAGCCAGCCACGATCGGTTGCATCGAGCCAAACGGATTCGCACACATGTAGTGCTCCATATGCTTGGCACAATACAGGCAACCACAGGATGACCCGTGGCCCGTCCAGACGCTCTGCGCGAAAGGTAGCGCATATGCGGGGGTGTGGTGGTAGGACGGAGGCTGGGAGCGAGGGGCCGGTGGAATGTACTGCTGGGGCGGAGGAACCCAGGTACGCGAGTACGGCGGGGGAGGCTGCGTGTACCACGGCCCAGCTGCGTAGTAGTCCGGAGTGTTCGGTCCCGTGTGAGGTGCAGAGGGCGGCGAATACTCCGACGCGGCAGGGTTGAGCCACGAGGTTTCATAGCTGGTACTGCGCTGGTACTGGGGCGGGATCGGTCCTTCGGGCGAGAGCAAAGGCTTCGACACGCGGTGGCTGCGAGAGACATTCGTGTCGATGGGAGCCAATGCATGGCGGGATTCTTGCGCCCGGGCAACGGTCTTGGTACGCCAGGTTTCCCAGTGGGACAACCATGACGCAAAGCCATCTTGTTGATCGTAGATCCGGTCGTGAATCTTCCACTCAAAGGCAAAGAGCCAGTCGAGCTCCATCGAGTTCAGCTCGCTCACAGGGATGTTGCTGACTTCGGCCCATGACTTGTTCTGGAAGGTGTTGTCGTCCAAGAACTTGCTTCCCAGAAGGAGGGCCACGGTGAGCATGCGGTAAACCTGGCCACTGCCGGTGTGGAACACCTTGGTGGAAGAAAGCATGCGCATCCTGCTGGCTAGGTAGTAGAGTCCCAGAAGGATGGTGGAGCTCGGGAGACGAGTGGATGACAAGATCTGGTAAACGTATTTCCGGAACTGAGGCGGGACCGACGATCCTGGGTAGACGCTTCGCGCTAAGTCAATATCTGCTAGGTTGATCTTGGTGATGTACAAAGCATACATTCCCTGGGCCATCTCAGCCACAAAGTCGGACATCTGGTCCATCTCATAATCCAAATGGGCGGCGACACCTCCAGTGGCCTTTTCCTCCTTGCGCTGGGGTTCGGGCTGCACCATCATCTCTTGTCGTCGGTACTGGGGCGGGATGGCACTCTCCATCGGGGGCAACTGAACGTTGTTGCGGATGGGAGGCAAGACATTGGCGGTACCCAGGGGACCGAACATGGGCTGGTTGAGCGCGGAGTGGGCGGCGACCATATCCCTGCCATTGCGGACACCCAGAGCGGACTGCGAATTCATGGGCTTGGAGTAGCAGGCCGACTGGGAGTACTGCTCGATGAAATCACAGCCGTTCTGGGGGTAGCGAGGCGGGAATGCGGCCGAGGGACCGAGGAGGTAGAAGGGTTGATCGTGCTCCATCCTGCCACCGCTCAAGATATGGGGAGGAGTAGGAGGAAGGCCCTGGAGGCCGGGAGCGAAGAAAGACGGCATAACGAAAATTAAAGAAAAAGCAAGAAAACCAGTTCAGGACGGGAAGGTAGACGGTCTGCGGCTATAACAACGGACAAGATTCCGAGTCAGCAAATTGGGTTTCAATGGGATGAGGGTAATCCCAAAGAGCAGATTGAGCGAAACACCAAATAAACACAAGATACGAACCGTCTACACGTTCGCCACGCCCTGATCCTGGGGGGTAGAGCAAATGCTCAACGAGCCGCGGCTCTAGATAGTTTCGTAGTGAATGTTTCTTAGTTGAATAACATGGAGGAACAATTCCACGGCACGGATGTCGAAAGGAGCGGACGGAGCGGTCGCGACTAAGATGTCTCTTCGAAAGTTTTTCCTTGCTGGGAGGAGCGGTCCTGTAGCGGCACGAGTCTGGTGATCCTTTTCTGTTTATCTTCCGGTGTTGTAAGGCGGACAATTGATCGAACACGAGGCTGTCGAGGACGGAGGCGAAAAGGGACGGAGTTTGACGGTAATCACCGGAGACGCGTGGGGACGCTCAACAATGAATATAGCAAGCAGCAAAGGATGATGCAGTGGATGGAGGCAACAGGCGAGAGACGTTGAACTTCTTTTTTTTTCTCCTTTCTTTCTTTTTTTAATACTTTTGTGTAGGGTCAAGGATGAGAAAAAAAAATTGGGAGCAAAACAAGTTCTCGCGTTTGGTGGGATTTAGCCCCGGTCCACAGCGACAACGACACTTAGTGAAAAGCTCGTTGGGGTATAAGGGAGGAGAGATGGAGAGCAAAGGGAAGGGGATTGAGGAAGGTCAAGTTGGAAGAGCAAAAAGCGAGGATGGTGAGAAGGTGCAGAGAGAAGAGGAGGGGGGAAGAGGATTGGAGAAGTAGGTTAGGTTAGGTTAGAGAAGGGGAAGAGGGAGAGGGGGGAGTGGGAGTGGGAGTGGGAGTGGGAAGATGGAGAAGAGAGACGGAGAACGAGAGGAAAGGCAAGGCGAGAGCCACAGGCCAAAGCAGGAGACCCGACGAGAAAAAGCGAAGGGGAGAGCGCCTGCTTAGTGGTCCGAGGTGTCAGAGAGAGTCTACTAGTGAGGGTCGAGGAGGTGACGATCCCCGGCTCACTTCTTCTTGCTCTTCTGACTAACAAGTAACACCAATACACCCTCTGCTCTGTTTCTGTTTCTGTTTCTGTCTCTGGCTAGGTTTGGTCTGTCGAGTATTCGAGTCGGTGGTCCATTCACACATCCACTGGGTTCCTTGCCATTGATTATGTAGCCTTCTCTGCCTGTTCACCATGTCGTGCCCCGTTCTACCTATCCGAGCAATGAATGGGATATTCCCTTTTCCTTTTACCCTGTTCTTTTTTTCATTGTTATACTGTAACTTTAAACAAATGAAGATAACTACATTGTAAAGTAACCTATTTACCCCTACTCATCCTTATTTTGTTTTTATTATCATTATTAACTCTTTTTTTTTCTCCTGTCCATGATCCTCCCGGCAAGTCCTCCGTTAGGGGAAAGAGACCATCGGAATGGACCCATGGCCAGGTCAGTGTAAGGGAAATGTATCAGGTTTAACAGCAATTAAATTTCCCTCAAAGAATTTTTTTTTTTATTCTTACTTCCCCGAGTGAATAAAATAAACCATTTTTTACATCATGTATATTAACATAATTATTAAGATCAATGGCATCTGCCTATGAGGGATTGAGGCAAAAGGATTCCCTTTTTTTAATTTCTTATGACGCAGACCAGGTACCGATTTGAATCGCAACCACCACGATCAAAGGGAAGGCGGAAGTTACCAGAACGATCAAGGTGACTGTCAGACCAAACAGAATCCCAGCCGCAACACCCGAGTGAAGCAGTCCCAAGTAACTACTAGTACTATGTTACTAGTAGAGAGTTAACTACGGCTTCCCACGGAGTACACCTCATGGGGTTGGAGAATTGTTTAGAGTTTTCAGAGTTTTCCCTACTATTTTCCTTTAGAGCCCAGCTAGAGGATGAGGGAGTACCCAGTGACGATGCTGGAACGGCCGTCCTTGGGAGAGGGCGGAGGAGTTGACTAAGGCATGTTTAGGATGAAAGAGGGAAACTAAAATTAAAAAGAAAAACAAAAAGAGAAAAAAGAAATTTAATTAAATTAGAATTGGGAAGGGAAGGATGAAGGAAGGACAGAGGGAGGGAGAAAAAGAAGTGAAAAAACGGAAATTGTAAAAAAGAATAATAAAAAAGGAAAAAAAGAAAGAAAAAGAAAAAGAAGAGGTCAGAGGGAAAGAAGAAAAAAAAAAAAAAAAAAAAAAAAAAAAAAAGCGGGAACCAACCAGCTAACCAGTAACAACTGACCGACTGACCAAACCGCCTCCACCGTAACGCTGCCGAACGGCCAGGTTACTTCAATCTCAGACCCAGCTTTTCTCAGCAACTTTTCTCTCGCCCATGAAAGACCCGCGGCCAGAACGGAAAGAGAAGCCCGGGTCCATGGTTGAGGAGTGCTTACTCACCCTCAACAAGCAATCTTAATATAGCACTTTGCACGGCCAACGATAAATCCATCGTTTATTTTTTTTTTTTTTAATAGAATTGATGGATTGTTGTTCGACTGAGGCATCAAGTAAAAAGGTCCCAGGATTCACCAACCATTCATTCTCAATCAGTCAGTCAGTCATCAGGTGCGATACGAGCAAGAGGTCATGTTACTGGGTGATTGTAAATTAAGTGTCAGATGGCATGGGCGGAAATGCTTCAAATCCAGCACCGGACAGGACGGCCGGGAGTCAAAGTAAGTCAGTCAAGAAGGAAGGCTCTTTGACTGCAACTCCATCCAATAATCGGCTGCACGGCCTGCGTCGTCGGCAGAGACAGACAGACAGACAGAGAGACAGGGAGAGAGAGTAAGAGAGAGAGAGAGGCAGGCCAGCCAGCCGGACGGGACCAGACCAGAGACCCCTGGGGCGGGAGGGCTCCGGCCGGTCAGACTGTTTAGGACTGGTACTTACGTAGTGCCTTGTCTACCTACCGGCAGATTTTACTCCCTAAAGGGGGTCAGCGAGCAGTTCGTGGTGACCGTTAGATTAGCGGCTAAGAAGGGGGGAGGGGAGAAAGGAAAACTCCTCGAATCCACCGGTCACTACTGAATAGTAGTCTTGTCTTGTCTTGACTTGACTTGGGAAAGATTATTAATTCTAATCATGACTACTCTTCGTACTACTTAGTGAACGAACTTAAAATTCCCTGGTTATCTATTCCAGATCCTACTCGGTAGATTTGATAGTTTACAACGTATCTAGTACTATATTACCGAGTTACCAATAATACCATTCATTAAAGTGATGCAGGCGCAAAAGTGACGAATTCACCCAATCAATCCCCGGCAGGCAATCGTCATTCCCTTCATTGGCTGCAGCCAGTGGGCGAATAGGGGAGTGGAACAGGAGGCAGTGCGAAGCTGCGATTGTCCATCGTTCAGCAGGCAAGAGGGAATGGAATGGGGGGAAGGGAGGCAAACGCAACTGCAGGAAGTCCAAGGCGTCACACAGAAAGGTTGAAAGTGGACATGACTGACTGACTGGCTTGATGATCAAGTTCAAGTTGTTACAAGTCGAGGAAAATTAAGAGCACAAGTAGGGAAGTGACAGGCGGTATCTTCTCCGTAATGGTACTCTTAACTTTTACTGTGGGTGGACAGCGCTAGTGGGAGGTCCTCGAACTGCTTCGACAATAGGGTGGGACGTGCGCCCCCGTGCTAATTTAGAAAAAAAATCAAGAGGGGGGGAAATAAAATAAAAAAAGGGTAAGGGGAGAAAAACGTGTCTGAGTGGTACATGGGACTAGTCGGTCTGTGGCTTGGCTTATTGCAGGAGGCGAGTGATATAATCATAGTAAGAAGTAGTATGGAAGATTATTTATAGCCAGTGAGAATGGAACCCTTCCGAAAGATGAATGAATGGCCTGGGAAGGAACAAGGGAAGGAAGCAACTAGAGTACTACTAGATAGGCAGCATCAGTCATGAAGTTGTGGACGTAGATTACCCGCCAGTTACTTGCTGATACCATGTAAATCGATGCGACTAGAGAAGCACACCAAGCACCCAAGGCTGCAGCAGGAGCGACAGTGGCAATGCCGTCAGTCAGTCAGTCAGTCAGTCACTCTCAAGAGGGCCAGACTTATAGGACTTTTGTGTCAAGGCGGAGTCCCATGCCACCCACCAACCCTCAAGAGACCAATCCGGGAGGCGGACAGCCTCATTTTGAACTATAAGCGCAATGACACAACAGGCAGACAGGGTGTGAGAGGGAGAGGGAGAGAGGAAAGATTCCCACCATTACTATCTATCTGTACACTGTAAGTCACCACACATGCAGAACACAGGACAGGACAGGACAGGGACAGGGACATTGCACCTACATCATCACATCCACCCTCTTCTCACTTCCTCACATCGTCATTATCATCATCATCATCCTAATCGTCAGGTGGCTGAGTAAACCACATTCCATGCCTACATTCCGCGGTTGCTCGAACAACGGGCTGGTCTACGTAAGGTCGGTGCCTGAGAAGAGGCACCTTACAGTGATTGCGATTCCTACTGGTTTATCGGATCAGGTGCAACTTCCAGTTGAGGCTGTTTTGCGATTCCTTCTGGGCTGAGAGACGGTGACTCACCGACCGCCAGGAGGATGGGGGCAATACGATCAGCATATGATCGGGCCGGAGTATTTTGGAGCCTGTTCGTTGATTACTTTTGTACCTCAGAATGGAGGTATACACAGTAGTGAGTTTTCTACTATGGAGGACTACTCTGCAGATGGCGACTGGCAGTAGCCGGTATATCCCTCACGATGGTCTTGCTCTCCTTTCCTCCTAACCCCGCAGGCACGGATATACAACACGCCTGTATATGCGTCTCCCACAGCAACCTCCACCGCAACAGTTGAACCCCATTCGCAATCCCTTCATCTTATCGAATTCGATACCCAATCATCCCGGTCCCCAAGCGCGGTACCTACATCCATATCCCCCTTCCCATCCGGACCTCAGGATGAATGACCCGAATCATGACTACTATCGTGTTTCACAATCCCCCAACCACCGGATAATGAATAAGATCACGCCGGTAATGTCTCACTTACAACGAGACAACCAATGAATACGAGTTATAATCATATAATAATACTTATACCGACCGAGCCAAACCATGTCAAATAACTCCAGTCATCCAAGTCAGGTACCAAGAATATATTTCCCACATACCAGCCACCCAGACTACACCTGCACCAAGCAAGATCCAGTAACTCAAAGTGGGGTATTCACCCCCAACTCCTCCAGACAGAGTACTAGATGATTCCCAAGTACCACTTGCATCCATCGAACCTACCAACCTCCATCATCGCTGCCCGATCTACTAAGAGTACTAGTAGTCTTTGCCCCCTCCCCCTTCCCATGCCAACCAAAGACGCAAGTGTACACAATGATGGAATGATGATTGATAGCCGACATTGAACATCATGCATTCCATCACTGATACCCACTCAGTCAGTCAGTCACCAACCCACTAACTCATCCATTTGCCCAATGAACACCTATCACTACCTACCTAAGTATCTACCCAATAACCACCCATCAAATAGAGAGACACTTCAGATAGATCATAATAGTCATCCCCCCCATCCAGCAACTGACAGTTTACATATACATACATACATGACATCCTACATACATGACACCCCGCATAATCAAATAACATCCCAAAGATAGCCCGTAGTGGCGATAGTAGCACGCACACACACACACACACACACATAGAACAAAGAAAAGATGACTGGACGCTCCACGGGCCATACGGATGAATGGAAGGGAATGAATGATATGCACACGACCGGCCCGGTGACTCGACTCGACTCGACTCGACTCAACAGCATGATCCTTCCTTCTCCTCCTCACTCCATATCATAGTCATGTAAAATATATCTGCAGTGTATCACGGGTGAATCCGGTCATCGGGTCAATCATCTTTCCCTTTCCCCCATCTTCTCCTTTATTTTCGTTCCGATAGGTGTGTGTGAGTGTACGAGCACAGATAATTTGTAGATAGGTTAACTCAATAATAATATTTGGATTAGCTAGTAGTTAGTAATTAGCTAGTAGTGAATGAAGTCTGCAGGTATCAACAACAACAAACAACAAACCCCGCTATTGCTATTTCTGTTCGGAAGTAACAGAAGGAAAGAATAGGAAAGAGTCGGATGTAGATAGATAGATCGATAGTGGGGGAGGGGTAAAATATCACACCTCGAGTCACTTACTTCCCTCCGGACTACGGGAGTTATTTATTTCCCATCATCCATGGTATAACTACTACTATTACTACTTAGAAATAAATCTACGTAATTAGTAATAGTCAATCAATCAAACCCGTCGTATGCGACATCCCCATTCATAATGTAGAATTTTTTTGGTGGTCTATGCAAATAACTCCAGCTGCTTTTTTGTTTGTGATTTAAGAACGGAAGGGGACAGAAAATGGGTTCCTTCCGATACTCGGAGAAGGAATACCCCCCATCAGAAGATGAGGGGGTGGAAGCAAGTCAATGCAAGGAGAAGGAAAAAAAACTTGCCCGGCGCTTAAATCCATGCAAGTCCGGGATGTCGCGGACGTGGAAGAGACAAAACAGGAAAGGAAGAAAAAATCACTTTGGAAAATGGACCCTCGGTCCAGAACGGAGGGGATATCATCGAGAAGCACTGCAGTGGCGGGTGAATAAGACAAAAACACAACCCGCAGATGGAGAGAGAGAGAGATAGAGAGAGAAGCAAATAGCAATGGAAATGTAGTAGTGAGTCAGTCAAAATAAGCCCCAGAAACAGAAATGGATGATAACAATCGGACTCCGTTTCAATATCATGAAAGATAAAGACCAGTTATGTGATCGCGCGCATGATTTTTATCCCAGATCACAGATCTCCTAACACCGGCCCGGTCTCCATGTGTAGATGTATGTTCGTAAGCATAAAAGCAAATCCCAAGTCGTAAATTCGTCATCCCAGTTTCGACCCTTGTTCCCGCTGGCAAATAGTCGCCTCTTGCTAGGCAGACTATTCGTCCTTTAAGCTACCGATCAGATTGCGAAGCGCATCCAGGATGACAGCTTCGTCCTTCGGTTCGCCGCCGGGGAACGAACTATCCGTGGCATTGCCGAGAACGCGAGCTCGGGCACTCTTAAGTACCTCCCGGATGTAGTTCTTATCCTCGTAGTCTTCCATCAAAACCGCCTCAAAGTCGTCAATGGCCTTGCTGGCCCGCTCATTGAACGACGACGCCTCCGAGTTGTCCATTGGGCCCGGCCCAGGGTCGTGGCCCATGCCCATGTTGGGCGGAGGGTGCTGCATAGGTGGACCTGGGGGCGGCGGTGGAGGATGATGGCCTTGATGCGGTGGTGCATTCATCGGCGGCATAGACGGTGGGTTAGGCGGAGGATAAGGTGACTGGTGCTGTGGTTGGGGTGGCATTGGCTGTGTCTGTTGCGACTGCTGCAGCTGAACCAGCTGCGGCGGCGGATCCGAGGCATAGGGCGAGGTATAAGTGGAGGGCGTAGTCTGCGCGAAAGCAGGTGGAAGGTTGTTGCGAAGCGGACTCGGTATCGGGAAGGGTGTAGAGGCGGCAGCTGGAGCAGGAGGCGGATAGGGACTGGAATGGTGAGGTGCAGGAGTAGGATTGGGGGCAGGAGCTGGGGGAGGAGGAGGTGCATAAGGGTTGGGAGGCATAGAGGGAAATTGAAAGTGCGGATTGGCCATCCCAGGTTGTCCATGCTGATTGCCATAGGACGGGTTCAGCTGAGGCATATACTGGGGAGTAGCTGACGGTGCAGACGGGGGCTGCGACGCTGGCGGAGGAGGCGACGGGCGTCGCTTCTTTTCCTTCTCCACTGATGCCCCTGGGCGGAGCTGCCACGACCATCCTTTGCCATCACGCTCAGCATGCATGAAGAGATGGCTGTTGCCATTGAGGTTGTGTCGCACACTAGACGTCCAGCCTTCGGTTTCGCACTTGAATCGGAAATATGGGTATTTCAGCTTCAGTGCGCGGTAGATCTGCTTGAGCGTCATCGGAGTACCAGCCTCAGTGAGGGCATCAAAGATAAGCACTGCATAGTTGTATGGTGGTTTGGCCAAATCCTCCGGCGTGTAGGCGGATTCGGGAGGGTAGTTGGGCGATGGTGAGCGCGAGGGCTTGCGCTTCTTGACTGGAGGTGCCTTGATGAACTCCTCCGGACGATGTTCCATGGGAAACTGGCCGCCCTCGGTTGAGGGTAGCGGAAAGTCCATGGGCGTACCATCAGGCTTCTTCCTCTTCGTGTACTTGCGCTTCTCCGGCTTAGAGCCAGGCGACTCCGCACCAACTGATTCTTTGGGTGCCGCCGTAGCACCACTGGTTGGTGCTGGTGCCTTTCCAGCCTTGGGACGATTCATGGGCGGAGGAGTGACGCCTCCATTGGCCTCGCGCTTTGCCGCCAACTTCTGTTCTCTTGCCAGTTCGGCTCGCTCGCGTTTGGACATGATGCCGTCCTTAGGCGGTCGTCCAGGGCCACGACGCCGGACAGGCTGCTGATTGGGATCTCCAGAACCTTCAACGGACTGCACTGGTCGCGACGGATCAGGTTCAGCCCGGGTCTTAAGGATGATCTTCGTGGTCTTCGGCGTCTCCTTGGTCTCCGAGCCATCGGATGCGCGCTTCGGAGCTGGCGTTTCGTTCTCGGCGGTAGTTGAAGCCTGAGCCTTCTCATCCTCGGCTGTAAATGGTTCTTCCACTCTATCCGCTCCAGTTTCGCCAATTGGCACGTCGGGAAGCAGGAAGCGGATGCGGACGCCTCCAATTTGGATATAATCACCACTATGTAAAGGTCTTACTTGTCCTGGGGATAGCCAATCCGCGCCAATGAAAGCGCCATTTCTTCCCATAACCTCCATCTCAAAAAGGTTTCGGTCAAAGTTGTATGCAATCTTGACATGTTTCCGTGAAATCCCTCGATGCCCAGCAGCGCTACCGTCGACCGTCGCCGGGGGATGAATTGGGATGGTTGGACACGCATCCGGCGAAGGAAGCAGCGCCAAAGCATCAACTGGCTTCGCATCGCCGTTCTCTTCGTTCAAAGACTGCATTGCAAGCGCATTGTAATCGGTAGTCGATTGCAATTGGGCTGGAGTCGCATGCAGCGGAGCTGATTCGGCGTGGGAAGACACGGACGAGCGACGACTGAGATGATGTGGTAGATGAGGCGGAATATCGGGATCAAACCCCATAATGCCACCGCGGTCGCTGACCACACTTCCCAGGATGCCACTGCCCTCATGTTTCACGCGGTTGGGAGTATGCGACGTGTTGCCACCACTCGAACTCTTAGCCCGGGAAGTCCTCATCGCCTGACGGACCTGAATTTCGCGCTGATGCGCAGCCCGAGCCGCTCGTACATCACGTCCAAGAATGAAGGAGTATGTATTGCAGTAAAAATGGCCGTCATCGAATTCCAGCTTCGCAAATGCCTGGATTCGGGGCTCCGATCCCGCGACCGAGCCAGCGATATCGTGAGACAAATGCCCACCAGAATAGCCAAGGGCGGAAAGATCAGCGCTTTGCGAGAGGTAGGCGGCGGTAAGCATCTCATTCTGCTGCAGGGCTTCGAACGGTGTCTTCGGAGCGGCCGTGATATCGAAGGAGGAAAAAAGATCGGGATGGTCTAGACTCGATTTGGAGAACAGTAATGGATCCGTCAAGCCTTCTACAGCCTCTGATGCCTTTATTGACATACTATCGCCATGATCGGGGTTCGAAAAAGGTATATCGGGTGGTTGTTCGGAGATTTTCTCGTCCTGTTGGTGAGGAGCCAGCGATTCAGTCGATTCCGGCGGAAATTGATCCGCGCCTCCATTGGTCGAATCTGCAGGTGCAGCCGGGGGTTCGGAGGTCGATTCAAACTGCCATTGACTCTTTACATCCTGGTCGTTATTTTGGGGCGGCTCGGCCCCGTCCTGTGCTGGCGGCATTGGATGATCCTCAGACTCCAACCCATCGGCCGAGACCTGGTTCCCGAGGAGTTGAGCCAGCAGCGCGCTGGCGGCCGATTGACGACGGATATCAGACTGTGATTCTGGAGGAGCGGACGCGGAGGGGGCGGAATCGTGGTCGCCGGGTTCAGATTTGACCACAGGGGTGGTTGAGGACAGGGTCGACAGGCCATTGGGAGGAGAGTCGGGGGCAGAATCGTGCAGAGGGCGGATTGCGGAGTCGCTGGGCGGGGAGGGGTGCGGTTGGTCGTCGTGTTGCTGCTGTGAGCGGGCGTAGTCGTACACGGACGACATATTTGGAGCAGCATCTGGCGGACGATGGCCCACCGCAGACGCTGTCATGGTCTGCGACGACGACATGACCGGCGGGCAGGTCTTGAGGGCGGAGGGGGATTGGAGAAGGACGACGGGCTGGGAAGGAGGAGGAGGAGGAGCAGAAGTCGAGGGCGGTGAGGCTGAGGCCCCCGTCCTACTCGCCCTGTGACTGGCTGCGCCCGTCACGCCCCGGTCGGTTTTTCATAAATTTTCTGCCAAATCGTGACGGTATTTTTGGGATACTTGTATGTTGAAGCAGCAATCTTACTGTCCCAGCATGGTTATTACCACCCGGGAACGTATCACGGCGCTTCATTCACTGTTTCCGTACCTGAACTTGACCCCATACTATACCACGAACTAGTAAGTAACTTACCTGGGAACTTTTTTTTTACTCCCCATCCCGACGGACAGATCAGACCAGACCAGACCCGACCAGACCGACCTGCATAGTACTTCACGACCACGATCTAGTACTCCTACTACCGACTCACTATCCATCTGTCTTAACTATCTCCTCACCGACTCACACTCCCATCACTCATACCATACACATCACACCCTCCCCATATCCCCACAAAAAAATATGCCCAAGAAGACCTCCAAACAGCCCCCCTCATCCACCCCCAAATCCCATCTCCAACAAAAACAGCAGCAACCCAACTGGCCCCCTCTCCGCCCACTCATCCCCTCCACCTCTCTCACCCTCGACCCTCTCGTCCCCGACCAAATCTACCTGATCCGGAACTTCTTCCCCTCGACGCTCTGCAAAACCTACACTTCATTTCTGGCCTCCCTGCCACTGACCACCACCCCGGGCAAACCCAAAAAGGGCGATGCAGTACGAGTCAATGATCGGTTTCAGATCCAGGATGAGGGGTTCGCGGAGGGTCTTTGGTCGGGGACCGCGTTAAAGGAGATGGTTATGAATGCGGGGGGAGGAGATGAGTATGAGGAGGAGGAGGAGAGTAAAGAAGAGGAAACTACGAGAGACGTCAAAGATATCTGGGGCGGAGAACCCATTGGGCTGAACGGGAATATTCGTATATATCGGTATTCGAAGGGGCAGTTTTTCGATAAACATTGTGAGTTATTCCCCCCTTCCTTTTCTCCTCTTCTTATTGTATGTTTGGGGTCACAGGTGGGAAAAGGGTTGGGTCGTAGAAGGATGTTCTGTAGTCAGTCCTAGTCAAGTAATTCAGTATGCTGATAGCTGCTCTTTATCGTAGATGACGATTCCAATGCTATTACTTTCTCCTCGCCCGGTCGTCCGCCCCGTGCGGCCCGCACCACTTGGACACTTCTCATCTACTTGACGAGCTGTGAGGGAGGGGAAACCGTCTTTTATCCAGAGGCGACCCGCTTCAATCGCAACCCCGAGCCCGTGTCGGTGGCTCCGGTGCCGGGGATGGCGCTGCTGCATCGGCATGGAGATCGATGTATGCTGCATGAGGGGAAGGAGGTGCGGGAGGGGGAGAAGTGGGTGTTGAGGAGTGATTTGGTGGTTGCGCGATGATCTAAGAAGTACCATTGACGGATACAGATACAGGAGACTGCTGGTTCTGAGTGCTATGCTGTATTATAAATATCATCTTACGCATCCCATCGACACGGTTAAGTACTTGTGTACATGTCAACCATATATGTATCCTTCGTAGCCAATGAGCTATTATAAACATAGAAACGGCAAAAGACAGGAAATAACCCAGGTGGTTTATCAATGACACACTGACATGTCCGATCGCAGCCACCGAAGTGAGCAGCCTTGGGGCTGCGGCTTCCTTCGCGACTCGGCCATGAATATAACGCGTGTATGAACAGTCCAGAGACATACACAAACCCCCCGCGATGCCGATAATGAACCACGACCCAATGTTTCGCCGATGAATAGGGGATCCTTTTTTTCAGCCATCTGTTGTAGATCTTGAGACCAACAGGTTTCCCTGGCTGGTCCGTCCAACCAAGAGCATAGATAGGCGGATAAAACGACACATGAAAGAGATGAAACAGTCACCACATTGTCCCACACAAAAACTCCCTCCCTCTTCGCCAAGGATTTCATGTATTTATGACCCATTACGCCTCTCAAGCGGGCACAGGTTTCGATTCGTATTCAGCTCGTCGCATGATATCTTCCACAGGGCCCAGTAACCGCTTGAAGCCATCCCGGCCCAATTTCGCCACCTTCACCTCTGTCTTGGCCACGATGCTTGCGGCCCGTGGCTTGTCATCCAACAAGGCTAACTCACCAAAGTAGTCGCCGCGCTTGTAGGACTTCACAGGGCCCTCCACGCCATTCTTGAAGGCATCCGCCTCTCCGGATTCGAGAAGGTAAAAGGCATCACCCGGATCGCCCTCAGCAATGATCGTAGAGCCAGCAGGATACTTGATGGCGTCCAGAGCATCGGCAATCTTGGCACGCTCATAGGGCTTAAGGCTTGACAGCAGCGGCACCTCCTCGAGGAATGCCTCGTACATGCGACGGCGCTGGAAGGCCGAGTCCATGAGAATCCGTCGGAAAGTGATGCGGTCCAGGGCCCAGAGTGTGCTCTTCGGGTCCACCGACACGACGGTGGCCGCGCGAGGCGCATTGTACATGAGAGCCAGCTCTCCAAACGAGCCTCCGGGTCCAACGGAGCCCACTTTGTTGCCCATGCCGTCCGGACCGGGTTGCACGGAGCCCGATGGGTGGATCATGAAGTCAAAGTGGCCGTTCTCTACGATGTAAAAGTAGTCTCCTGCATCACCCTGGCTAATAACCTTGATGCCCTTGGCTGGGATAGGCTTTTCAACCAGAGCATCGAGCACACTCTTGAACTGGTCGTCATCTAGGTGCGAAAAGAGGAAGTTGCTGCTGACCGCAGTCTTCAGGCGGGACAGCTGCTCCTCTGTTTTCTCATGGTACGGGGGAGTCCAGCTATCTGAGCCAGCCGAGGTCGGGTTCAGTGACTCTGCTGAAACCGATGTCCGGCGGCCCAGCGCGTAGTTATTAGGGAATCCCTGATTCGCGGCGCCCGTGGGGCGGATGTCTTCCGGAGGGAACTCGTCGGCACCCTCGTCGTCCTCCTCCCTGGGCCCATTGTCGAACGGACTCCTGTTGAAACGAATTGGTCCGCTATTCTCGCCATAACTACCACCGAAGAAGGGGCTGCCGGTCGACGAGGATGCAGCAGCGGCGTTGGCAGATCGAAAAGTGGGATCGGTTGGTGACGTCACCTCGTATTCGTCCTCCTCGGAGATCTTCTGAAAAGCAGCGGCTTTGTCGTCTTTTGTGCCCACCCGGAGGGGTTGTTGGGCGCTGGGGAATGCACTCTCAGCCATGCTGGCGAAAGAAGGGCCGGAGAGAACACCGCTCCGGCCACAGTGAAGCGGGGAAGTTGGAAGGTCGGGAGACGGCGACTGAAGCGGCCGGCACGCAAGGACGAAAATGGTCTGAAGGAGGTCAGACGCTAAGCAAGACTGGGGCGAGCGGGCAGATGAAGAAATAAAATGTATGTGTAAAAGAGAAGGAGAGGGAAAAAGTAGGAGGGGGCAGTAGTCATCAGACAGCGAAAGAGTAGTAGCAGGGTTGGAAAGAACGGGGTGGGGGGAGCAGAAGATGTGGTAGCTCAAGCAAGAAGAGAGAAAGAGAGGGAGGGGAGGGGCGGGTAGGGAAACCGACCAGAAGGTCGTAGCAGCAGCAGATTGGAAGGTCGCCGTGGATGGAACAGAAATGGGGGATCCAGTCAGGGAAGCAAGATCATCGATGATTGGGGTCTCCGCTAGACAGTGTGGGTATCGGGTCCAGCAGGCCTTATTGGATGTCCGTTGTGGTACGTTTTTCTGCTTCGGAGCCTCTGAAGCTTTCTTCTGGCGGAGAGGGAGCTGTTGCCCGCAGATAGCTGGGCCAGACCTGAAGCTTGCAGAGTAGATCTCACGAAGAACACCAGACAATGTAGATACAGAAGACCAAGGGGGGGAGAAAGGTGGAAGGAAGAGAACAATAAAACACACAATTAAAACATGAAAATGAGTCCAGTGCGAAACAACAAGCACAAACAATAACAGCGGGAAAGGAAAATCACCGGGCAAGCTTTGGAGGGGCAACACGGCAGAAGTTAAATGGAGAGTAGCTTTGCGAGGGATTCCCTTACCTTCTCGGTCGCGTGGGAGGCTGTTCCCAGACAGAATTGCAGACAACAAAAAGAGTTGGGGATCCGGCTAGAAAGATGACAGAAACACCTAATTTCGGGTGGAAGCCTTCTAGACAGTTCAATGGGAGGGGGCTTTTAAAGTAATCAAATGGCACCAGAAAAGGGGTGGTGGTGATACGCAGGGAACTTGATCCGGAGGGGTTGCAAAAAAGGGAGGGGGGAATGAAGAACCATGAAAAAGGCGGGGAGCCAAAAGCCAAACTGGATGATTATATGACTCGCGTCTAAGTAAAAAGTCCTCTCATGATCATATCATTCTCTACTTTCTATTTGCAGATGGAATCCATGATTTTTCATTTCCCTTCCCTTTTTCACTCTGATTATCCTCTTCACCCCCCCTTTCCCAGTCTATACCATTCCAGGAGCTCGGCTCTATCCTCTCACCATCCTTCGGAGAACTGCCCGGTGGTGCCCATGTCGAACCCACCACCACCACTCAGGCCACCCTCCATTCTTAGTAGACTCACCTCCTTAATTAATGGCAACGGACTAATTTTCGGATGTGTTGGGATCCTCCATCGCTGGGAAAGATGGCTCAGACGGCTCGATCGACGTCACGGACACCCCGCTAGTCAAGTCCACTACTTCAATAGCTGACGGCCTTGGGTCAATAGTCTGGCTCCGTTCCTAGGTATTATCAAATGAAATCCATAGTCGGGCGTAGTCGATCGAACTAGCACCGTCTCATCGTGTTCCAGAAGGTGAAAACGAAAAGGAGACGTGGACGATGGGCCCCAGACCTCCGAATCCTTCAGCCCAGTCGACCGGGAACGGACGCGATATGGAAGATGTGGAAGCTTCGATCCGCCGCCCAGGGGCTTCCAGACGGCTTCTAGAACATTGCGGTATTCGGAATAGGAGGGCAAGTCAAGAGTGCCAGCCAGACTGGATTGCGTTGCGCCACCGGAGCTGTGATTGAGATTGACAATCAGACCCTTGAACCGACCAACGACAAAGGGGGCGGGGAACGCAATTAGCTCAAGCCAGCAGACGCAAAAAGGAGACACTGCCGACCAAGTATCATTCCTGCCCATCCCAATTCATCAACGGTCGGCCTCGATGGAGATAATTGGCTCATGGGGTCTGCTTCGCTTGTCAGGCCAGAAGCAGGTGGCGAACAGAACTGGTGCTTGCGTTTGTCTGTCTGCTTTCCGTTCGGATGATCTGCTCGCTGAGGTCATAGCCAGGTAGACTATCCGTTCGTTGACGTTTGCTGGCGAGCCACCATTCTGACAGGGCAAGGCTTTCCGTCAGCCACTTCGAGGTGTCAAAGTGCCATCATCTCCACTGAGAAGTTCAAGGTAACATTTGCTTTGCCAATCCGGCAAGCAATGAGAGCTATCAGACACACAGAGCTCCCATGGATCCATGAACTTGTTGCTGCTTTTGGCTCCATTCGAACCGACCTTCCCTTCCATGCCTAATCCGGTTAGCGTAGTAAACCGTTATCACACTCTTGGATTACTGGCTGTGACGATTCCTCTTGCAGACTAGTCAGTGTCCGTGCTCTCTGGATCAGGATTAGCGCCGGGAGTGCTGTTGGTGGAGGATGGAAGACAAGAACACAGAATGAACAAGAATAATAATGTGTCGGAATCATCCACTCCAGCGCTTGTTCAGCTCTTATCCTCAGGACTGTAGCATAACTATAAGCAGGGCGACTAATTTTCTTTGGCGCGAAACTTTTGACAAAGGGAGACGGAGGGGGGCGGGCGGGTGCCTGATGCAAGTTCGCCAACAGTCAGATAGAAGGCTGGACTTTTCTGTCTTGCAGTGTAGTCTACTAGTACTGTCGGCTGTGGGTTGGGATCTACACGGACCATATAAAGTTTTCCAGGCCCTCACAGTGCATACATGAAATAACTTGCTCTCATGCTCTGTGTAGTCTCTACGCATCAATGTAAAGCAATGTGGGTGATTTGATCAGGTCCGTCAGGTACCATCGACGTGTTTCATCCAGTAGAATTTCTGCCTGCGAGAAGCCCCTGGGAAGATTGTGCGAAAGGCAAGGCGAATGGCTGTGACTACGGGCAGGAATGCAGCCCTGCACGAGCCTCCATACCAACGGATTTCTTGGATTCCTAACAAGGTTCTGATGAAACTAGCAAAGGCCTAGCGCGATAAGATGCCAGCTGTCGCTGCGCTGAGTTGTACACGGGCTGGCAAAGAGCTGGCAACCACTGGGAGTGTCTAGAATCCCCGGCACGGTGACTCAACCCGTGTGTATTCCGGCGAGGCTGCTTGGGTTCATCATTACCGAATCCTCGACACAGAATAAGCCACGGCGAAATTCGTTGCGTGTGTGTGTGTATGTTGTTCCTTGCTGTTTCGCCTTGATCAAATTTGACACCAGGGACATCCAAGTGGCGGCTTCTTACAGCGTACCTACTTTTGAGTCTCTAAGTACTTCCTGCCAAACAGTCCGACCGGTGACGGTCTGTGTGCGACCGAACAGCCCCCGCTCCATCTCTCCCCTCCCCATCTTCCCAGCAAGCTTTATCGCCGTTCCCAGCCTCTTCTTCCATAAGCCATTTCTACTATTCTTTTTTAATTTTGTTTTATCCTGTCTGCCCCGGGCGATTAGCTCTTTCGTTTCCCCTCCGTTCTTACTAGAGTCTCTATTACTGACCGGTCCCTGCTCCCACCAACATCCCATTGTCTGAGTTTGGGGGATCCAAAGCCCACCCGCCGCGAAAATGGGGAGCTACACATTTACATGGTAAGTGACATATCTCATTTTCCCACCGTCTAGATCTCCAATTGTGGGGGATCATCCGCTCCACGGCCTTCCTGTGGAAATTCTATTCCATCCGACACCTTCCGTACCAAGCGACAAGCACGAATGGAACAAAGCCTAGCTTTCTTCGGCGTCATGAGCTTAGAACTTTGGGGTGGATTTGATCGTTGGCTGATGCGGATTCTCGCTTGCGACTAGGCCGTACAATGCGAACGAAGTGTTTGTCACCGGCACGTTTGATGACTGGGGCAAGACAGTCAAACTGGATCGCGTAGGCGATGTCTTTGAGAAGGAAGTTCCGCTGCCAGTGACGGATGAGAAGGTGCACTACAAGGTGAGACAGCAGTCGCATGCTCTGCACATGACTCTATGGCGCAAAGCCGTTCCCTGACCTGATTTGCTTGCCATTGTTTGTACTTCCCGCCGAGGATTACGTCCTTTGATGGGGAACCGCATCGTGAGGATCCGTTCCTCTCCCCGTCTCTTCCCTGCCTGTCCTGCTTATCAAGTTCCATCGCGCGATGACGCTCCAGCCGTGCGTTGACGTCATGTCGCCGCCAGTCGCGGACGGGCGTGGTTTCCCCTCTCATGTTTCCCTCCCAAAACTATAAGACTCTCGTGTCAGCGTCATCGTTGCATTGGTTCCACAAACTAACAATTGTTTCTTCTTTGGTTCACAGTTCGTCGTTGACGGCATCTGGACCACCGATAACAGAGCTCCCGAAGAAGACGACGGCAGTAGCAATATCAACAACGTTCTCTATCCCGACCAAATTCTTAAAGACTCAACCACACCTTTATTGAACGGCACTGCAGCTATGGCCGGTGTCACGCCAGGCTCGACTACCGCTGCATTGGCAGCCGGAGTCCCCAAGGAGTCCAGCAGCAAGCATGGACAGAATGGATACTATCCCACTATCTCGTCGGCCGCACCGGGTTCGACGACCGCAGCTCTCGGCCAGGATGTGCCGCTGGAGCAGAGGGCCAATGTTCCCGGCTCGTTTCCGGTTACCCCAGCCAGCGAAGCTGACAAGTTCTCTGTGAACCCAATTCCGGCGTCTAGTGGTGCGGGAAACCCGATCAAGCTGAACCCGGGCGAGAAGGTGCCTGATTCCAGCACGTTCAACACGAACACTATATCTTCGACCGCCCGTACCGACCGGGCCGGCTATGAGCAGGGCACCAGTGGTGGATTCCCCGGCAGCCCTGCTTATGATGCGAGTGCCTTTGCGATCCCCCCGGTGTCCAAGAATATGATCCCAGAGTCTAGTCTGCCAATGGGTGAAAACCAGGGAGCTACGGAGCCTACCTACACGATCCAGTCGGCTGCGCCTACGTCTACGACTGCTGGGCTCGCTGCTGCTGTTCCACTGGAGTCACAGCGACAAACAAGCAGCGGAGCGCCTACGAGAGATGTCCCGGATGTGGTGAGGCAGTCGATGTCTGAAGCCCACCGGGACCCTGAAGCAGCCACCAACAAGGAGGCTGTTGATGAGAAGAAAGAGATGGAAGAGGAACTTCGAAGAAAGGTTCCGGTGGACAACTCTACTGGTGCGCCGGCACCTACCACTGTTGCTGGGCTTGGTACTTCATCTGGACTTGGATTTACCGCTGGGGCTGCTCCTTCGACCAACCTTGGTCCTTCCACTGGCCTTGACGTTGCCACTGGTATGGGTACCACTACTGGTCTTGACTCTGTGTCTGGGCCTACCGCTGCACAGAGCTTTCAGAAAGAGACAACTAGCGGGTTGCCGGCGCACGATGTCCCAGATGTGGTGAAGCAGTCGATCTCTGAAGCTCATAAGGACCCGGAGGCAGCAGGTGTCGAGGAGGCCGTCGGAGAGAAGAGAGAAGTTGAGGAAGAGCTTCAACAGAAGGTCCCTGTGAGCAACCAGTCTGGCACACCAGCACCTGTGATCACTGCTGCCACTTCAGAGACAGCACCAGGATCTGGCGCTGAACCTGCTTCCGAGAGGGCACCGCGGGCTACTGGCGGTGGGCCTGCTTCGGCCCAAATCTCTCCCCGGGCCACTACCCCAACCGATGGGCCCACGGTGACCACCGGGGTTGCCACATCGAAGGCTCCTGAAGAGTCGGGACCTGGCGCATCTGGCCGTGAGGAGACGACTGAGATTCCGACGAAGCCCGCTGCTGGTGCGACGGGAGCCAGTGCGACCAAGACCGTCGACTCTGGCGTGGAGAGTGGCATTGCTCCCGAGGACACAACATCCGCTCCGACAGCTGGTGCCACGGGGGCCAGTGCAACGAAGACTGCCGATCCCACCGAGACCAGCGGTGCACCGACCAGTGGTGCCAGTAAGCCAGCAGAGTCCGCGCCGACCAACAACGCGGCCGCCACATCGAAGCCGGCTACCAACAACGCCGCTGGGGCGGCGACGAATGGCAAGGAAGAGAAAAAGAAGAAGGGCTTTTTCTCGCGACTGAAGGAGAAGCTGAAATCGGTTTAAAGTGGATGCAATGATATGGCTTCTATGATAATGACCAAGGTGTACAATGGGAGGTGGAATGGGGTTTTTATGCTTTTCACGTCGACTGGATACCTGTTTGCATGGCTCGTATAATTGCTACGGCTTGTTTGGTTTATTGCTGCTCCACGGAGCATCGATAGCTAGTATGATAATGTTAATGTTCTGATGAATATATGCAGTCTACCTATTACTTAAGATGTAGCTACTACTATTACTAGATGGGTATTGCGTTGCTCACAGCCCCATTGATTTTGACCGGGTATCCAAGAACACTAGTAGACAAGTCAGTACATCACAGTCCATCGCAGTAAGGCAGGTAGCAGTGTGAAAAAAAAAGAATAGGAAAGAAAAGACATACTCCTTTCCAGTCTGCGTCAAACAACATCCACAGAAAATCGACGCCGGATAGCAAATGACCTGCAGCCCATCAGTTGAAGCCATTGGCGAAGATGGAGAGTAAATAGGTGTAGTATGTCTACATACAGCCGCGACCACCGTACAAATAAACCCTACCCTCATCAGCATATATCATGAAGAGATTGAATGGATGGGAAAACATACCTAATGTCGGCCCCACGACTTTACAGCGACAGGGATTCTGGTCGGTTCCGCATTGGAAGCAGATGGGGAAGATGGGGAGGAAGGGGATGTCGCACATTTCCTTTATATTTAATATGGGAGTGGTATGGTGGTTGATTAGGTATTAGGGGGATTAATAGTAGTTAGAATGTGGGAATGGGAAATGGAGAAGGGGATTGGGATGGGAGGGTTTTGGAGTGTTGTCTGTTGTGTGAGTAGTACTTAGTATATTCTGCGTTGGAGTGCCATTCCTGGGTAGTGAGAGAGTGCTGTGTCGTCATCATGAATCATGTATGCAGCATACTACACAGTATGAGTGAAACTGCATGACTGGGGAAGGTTGTTTGTTTGTATGCATGG